ATTTTCTAATTCTGATGATACACCAAGTCAAATAAATAAATAAAAAAAGTATGCATGATATCATAGGGTAATTTAAATAAGCTTACCTTTAAACAATTTGATCAACGGTATTAGCTACGGCGTATGGAAATGTCTGTCATCAAAGGTCACGTTAATTAAATGTGGTGATACGTAAATCGAAACAGATTATTTATTTGCTGCTAAAGTTACCTAATTTGCCGTTTTGATTCCTTTCTCAGAGAATTGTTTGTGGGGTGTATGAAGTCTCGTCTGGCGTATGATGTGTTTTTCAATTTTGATCGTTTATTGAAAATCCTAATGTATTACTTATTGCTTTTTTTATTTAGCACAACCGTATTAATTCTTCTTTTATACTTATTGTATGAAACCAACTCCCATAAAAATTTTGTTTTACGAAATTGCTTTTCGTCCCAATTTTTGTCGTTTTCGTTGCAGCTGTCAGTTTGACTTTAATATATTGTATGCCCCAGAGTGCTGCCCATACGCCGCAATTTAGAATTTTGGTGATGTTACCATATCATACATTTCAAAACCTTATTGTAGCATTTTTGTGGCACGAAATTTATTAGCAAAACGCTTATATATTAAATCATATATTTTTATGACAGTTAATGCAATGATTTTAAAATAATAAACATGCATATAATATTTTTTGTAGCTTTAACATGTTCAACTGAAACGAATTAGCTCTGCCAAAATTCTTCATCACCTCCAACCACAATTCAAAAATGAAAATCTCAATGTTAAGAACAGGAAGCATATATATAACCAAATAATTCGTCCGTCAGTTCTATATGGATGTGTAACGTTTAGCAAAGCCTCAAACACTATTATTCGGCAGCTAGAAATTGCTCAAGGCCGGGCTCTAAGAAGACTTTTCAAAGTACCAAGGAACATTACGACGAAATACTTCCAAGTATAAAAAATTTCAAACAATTCTGTGGTTTGATAATTAAACATAAAACAGAGAAATAACTGTAGATAATTTAATAACATTTTTTATATAAATATAAATAAATTTATATCAGTCGTATATTTTTCTTACAGACTAGCAAAAAAATACTCGTAACATACGAAAGAAAACATGTAAAGCAACAACAATGATCTTAAAATCTTAGAGTTAGGTTTTACTCGCAAAAAACTTCACGCCTTAAGTTTTAATGCACATAAATTCAAAAATCAGTCTATTGTGAATGTTCACTGGAAATATATTTTAAAATTATATTCATCCGTTAAAAATGCTAACAATTACCCTTTAAAATAAATATATATTAAAATAAAAAATAAGCTTATATTTTCTCTACCTCGGCCAGTAAAAAAAAGTGTTACCAACACAATAAGCGAACTATTGTGAACCCTCATTGGAAATTCCAACAAATATTGCAAATATATGAAAATTATATTTAAATAAAAATCAAACAAAATTCAAAACTTAAATAATTTGAAAATTGAAAAAAAGAAAAATTTCAGTGGTTTATTTTGTAATTTTCAATATTTTTACCATTCCTTTTAATTACGTATTCATTTTCATTTTTAATTTATGTTAATTATATATTTTTATACGAAATGTAATTTGCTTGCATTATGCTATTTTTGCTATTTGTCAAAACATAACACTTGACAGATTGCAACAGTGATGCCATAGTCGCGTGGCCAATATAGGCCAGTATACATTTTTTGCCATACTTGTGAGCTATCGAAAAGGCCTAATGTTATTGTTTCGCGTACATTTCGGCCAGTATAAGCCAGTTACTTGCTGTTTTTTGCCATACTTACGAGCCACCGAAACGGCTTTATGTAGAGTTGTGACATGAAACAGATATATTTTAAAACTAGTATTTATATATCTTTAGTTTGCTTGTAAACAAGTATTTTAAAGATTTGTATGACTTATTAAATTAAGGAATTGTTGTCTTATTGTTTAACTAACTATTACCAAAGGCTTAGTTTTAAACGCTACAAATACTTACTGAATATTTGGCGCTGGTGTATACATATCTATGTGTTGATATGAATTTCATAACAAATTAAAGTTAAAAATATGGCAACCCTAAAATGATAACAGATGGTGTTAAATACTTCCATTATTTTGTAATGTTATTTTTTTGGAAGTAGTGTATTTGCGACTCAATACTAAGTCAATAATCGGAATAGATTTCACTCGATTCTTCTTAAAAAATTGTTAAAACTAAATTAATAATAATAAATTAAAAGACAGTGTTTCGATATAAATACACAAAAAAAATCTGCTGAATTATTTTTAGTTTAAAGCGATGTTAAATGGTTAGAATTGAAAAATTGTATACTAATACAAAAACGGTGTTACAAACGCATACATCAATATACATAAACAATTATAAAATGCATTAAATACTATTAAACAAAACCATATACAAAACAACAAAAAACGTATAATTAAAAATTTCAGTCACAACATTTCTAATTGCAATATTTTCAATAATGGATCAAAAATAATTTTTTTTAATTATGTCAGTAATTACGAAATTACAAATAGCATTCAAACACATCACCACCGACCGTTCTACCCGGTAGTGATGCTTAATTGTGTTGCTTCCCTTCACCCACTCAACGTATTAAGGTCTATTAAGTTTAAAAGTATTTTATTGAGTCAGCGTATACATTAATCTTCATGGCAATGGGTCAGCTTAAGTTGTTTACCATAAAGATAATCAGAGCAGAGACATCGTTTTTATTATGATGAATATTAAAAAACTTTATAATTTGTGCTTTGGACTTCGAATTTTTTATGTCTGATTCTTACTAGTAATTACGTATTTTTCTCTTGCGTATTTGCTACTATATAGCATTGCGTAATTTATTTATATTTTGGTTTATATATTCAGTTGAAATTCAATATTAGCGAAATGCTTATCTTTGTTTACATAAAGAACCAATAAATTTTATTAAGTTTTTCGTTGTAAAAATCAATATGCAAAGCTTAACGAAATTAGGAATCAGTTTATAAAAAACAGCTGAATTGTTTACTTGAAACTAGTCTTTAAATATTTAATTCTGCGAACACACTTTGAAAATGACTCATATTACCCGGAATTGTTTTAGATTTCAGTTACAAATATATTTAGATAATTACATATACTATATAAAATAAAACACATGTTTCGAATTAGTTTAGTACTAATATGCAAATATCATATGTATACTAAAATAAAAATGAAAAGTATTCAATGAGCGGTTTAAAGAGATGCGTAATAAATAAAGCATGTGCGCTTCTTCTGCACGGATCTTATATTCACATAGCAAAGGTGGAATTAGAAACCAACCCTCGCTTTAAAAGAAATCTTCAACATATTCTCTTATACAAATAATCACATTTACATAGATCATAACAAATGTTACTTTTGTCCATCATACATTACTGAAAAAAAACATTACATATGTATGTACATATATCAGTAACCGTAAAAAATTTTTAAATATATGTCAGTCAACTCATAAACATTCAAAAAAAATAAAATTTCACCAATTTTTTTTAAAGTTTATTTTAATTACCAAAAATAATTCAACTATCCAATTACTATAAGTCTAAACAATAAGAATCACATCACTTTAAACAACATGGCATGGATGGGTCTAGGAGTGATTGCTTCCGGTTTCGGTATTGTGAACTCTTTTATATGCTCCATAAATAAATGTTTTGTCTTATATTTACCATATTCTTCCTTCATTAATCCAAATCTATAGATTAACACTAAATGTAGAGCGATTACTTAGTGATTTTTAATTTGAATATATTAACTACGATTTAATTCTATATCTAGTTTTGCAGCGATTACTGGGCGGCGAGACAGCCCCCAATAAAGTAATAGAAATAAAAAGTGAATCATTGGGTACACTACAAGTACTGGCACGTGATGATGCTATGGTGTTATTTGCTCCACCCTTTAATACAAACGAAAAGAAGGCCTTTTATGAAATCGTTCTACAGCGACCATGTACCGACTCGAATACTACATCCTTCAGTTTATATCGTTCAACCACGCAAACTGAGGCAGAGGAAAAATTTAATACTTTTATTCATCGATTGCCAATATTTGTTAGCATTGTTAAGGAAGTAAGTGTACTAGTTTTTTCAAAATTATTTGCTAAATAAATATTCCTCTGGGTATATTTACTCTATACCCAGAGGAATATTTATTTACTCTGGGTAAATATATCAACTTACACTGATTGTCTAGAAATGTACAGTTTTTTGTCGCAATTTTACAAAAATTTTAAACATTTAATTTTATTATGTATATAGTTTTACAATATTAATGGCTTGCAAAAAGTTTGTGATATTCTTACGGAGAATCCTGCATGGTCCTTAACGCATTTAGTTGCTTATTTCAATATGGTGGATTACATTAGTAATCCTAAAGTTCTTCAATTTATCGATTATGCTGATCACGCAAATCTCATGTCACCATTTCAGGTAAGCATAAACTAATTAAAAAAGTTCTAAAATTAGGAATGTGTATAACTTTTAAAACGGAATTTCTAGCGTTTTACCAGATATATGCAAAAGGTTTTTATCGGTGTTTTTGTAATAAGTAACAAGTAATATTCAAAGAAAATTTTTGTTAATTATAATTATGACCTCCTACACATGTCGCCCATCTTACAGGTAATTTATGAATACCATATCAGAAAAAACGGCTTGTTTTTCATGGCAAATCATTCGTTGAACCATTTTCAACTTCTTTGTTATTGCTAAAGTACTACTCTGCAACCGCGTGCCCCTTTAATGTGCAGAGGTGATAGTCCAATGGCGCCAGGTCTGGGGAGGGACGGGTCCAGAAGAATGCCCCATCCAATCGATTTCAAGATACCTTTCACGAGTTTTGGTGTGTAAGACGGTGCATTATCGTGTAACAAAATCACTTTGCCATGTCTTCTGGTCCATTCCGGTGGTCTTTCGATTAACGTGTGATTTTAATTAACTATTCGTTAGTGTTAGCCGAACTTCAAGCGTTCATAATACACAATACTTCGGATTTTCAAAACAAATCCATTTTTTGTTACCAGTAACAATTTGATAGGAAAATGATTTTCTTTCCTGACGTTGAAGAAACAATTTAGAAGTGGCTTTCGGATTTTCCATTTAACATTCTCATTAAATTGATTTTCAACGTCCGTTTTAATAGACAGGTTTTTATCGAAAAGTAATAATATTGCAACAATAACGTGCATTCAAACAGTGTGAAATCCAATTTCCCAGTTTATTGGTCTTCGCCATAGCTCGTAAATGTCTTTTGATTAATTCTTGTGATACATTAAATGCTTTTGCCAATTGCTGTTAAATTTGAGTAGAATTACCATCCAATAACTCTAGCAATTGCTCATATTCATATTTTTGTGGACTACCATAGAGCTCAGTTTTTCACATAGAAATCACCACTTTTAAATTACTGAAACCATGTCTGAAATTGTTTTGATCTTCGGATTGTATTCACCATATGTTTCTACCAGCAAATGATGACTCTTAACTGTCTTTTACTTTTGATTAATTAAGAAAAGTCATGCGTGTCGCAAATGTTCTATTTCAAGCAAAAAATTCGACATTATCATTGAAGAAGTATGCAAGTTTTTGACGTACTCGACTTAAATGTGCTTGGTAATGTACAGGTAATGATACCTGCAAAAGTTCGTTCGTTCGCAAGCGTTCGCTTCGGCTTGGATGCACCTTCAGGCGAACAAAATCACGTATTTGACAAATTAATATGCTCCGTACTTTTCGCTGGCGCTATCTCTTAGTTAAACTGGAGAAATCTTACGCATACATCTGGTAGTCTAATTGTACCAACTATATGTATATGTGCATTTAAAAAGTCGTAAGAGGTGAAAAGATCCACCTTAGAAATGTATACACAGTTTACAATCACGTTGCTAAATATATTTTATTCTAGAAAAAAAACTAAATTACTAAAAATTTCTAATTGCAGTTAGCTGTTAAATGTGGCAATGTCGAAATGGTTAAAATTCTTCTACCACTTTGCAAAATCGAACATTTGGATAACAATAGCAACTCAGTTTTTCACTACGCCGCAAGTACTACCAAGGAGATAATAAATGTAAATTTAATATAATTATTATTTTATTTAAACAATTCTAATGTATTATTTTTTGCAGATATTAAGTGAAAAGAGCACTGTAAATCTCAATCATCTTAATTCTGATGGTTATACGCCATTACATTTGGCTTGTCTATCTGATAAACCAGACTGCGTTGAGGCTTTGTTACTAGCAGGTGCTGATGTTAATATAAGCGCTAGTAATGTTAGTAAGATTTACAACACATCAGCCCCAACTTCAGTTGCCGGTTTTCTTCGTAACAATACGAATAAATTATATAAACAAGACATGAAATATGGTGGTACACCTTTGCACTGGTGTTCATCACGTGAAACACTACAAGCACTTATCAATAGTGGTTGTGATGTAAATGCAGCCAATTTTGATGGACGCACTGCTTTACATGTCATGGTAACAAATTATTCAATAATATAAATACTTTAGTTATTATTATATTAACTATTTTTACAAGGTGGAACGAAATCGTTTTGAATGCGTAGTAACGCTGTTGGCACATGATGCTGAAATCGATGTTTTTGACAAGCACGGTCAAACTCCGTTACATATTGCCATTCAAAAGAAATTTGTACCTATTGTTGAATGTCTTGTGGTCTTTGGATGTGACATTAATATCAAAAATAAAGATGGTAACAGCCCAAGGCATATGGTTGGTACTGAAGCTAATGGCAGCAAATCGGATGAAATTCTCTATATATTGCATTCTGTAGGCGCTAAACGGTTAGCATTAATTAATACATTCAAAAATTTATATAATATTTTATCATTTTTTTCTAAAGTTGTTCATCTTCAAATACTAAGTGCCCATCTGGTTGTAATGCAAAGGGTACCTATAATGGTATACCACCAGAGGCACCAGAATCAGTTGAACAGAGAGAACACATTGAAAACATGTTAGCTACTACAAGCCGTCAGGCAGTAATAGGTATTTTTGGGCCAAATGCCAATGGTATACTAAACGAAGTGAAGCCAGAGTAAGTCAATTTCAAACAATATTTTACAAAAACTTAGCTGATATAGGTAAACTTTATTTGTTAATAACACTTTTTCAAATACCATAAAAAGTTGATAAATAGTATAATAAAAAACTGTGCATTGTAGACAACCAGTGATTATAAATACAGAAAAAGAACAAAAAGGTCAAAGTATAATGGATGCTCTACTAGGTATGTTTACATCTAAAGTAAATGCTGATTCAAGAAAAGGTAGCAAATTTTTAAAACTTCTGAAAATAAATAGAATAGTTTTAATGAAAACTTCAATTATATCTAGAATCTCCTGTCGAAATACTTGGAAGCGATGGAGATGTCGTATCCTTACTATCCAGTCCTGAAGCTGGCAATTCACCTTCTTCACCAGTATCAGATTCTGCAACTACAAATAAAGGCGATAAAGCATACGGTCGAGGACGTTTACTCTCTCTTGATGGAGGTGGTATTCGGGGACTTGTATTAGTACAAATGCTGTTAGAAATTGAAAAACTATCACAAACACCAATTATTCATCTTTTTGATTGGATTGCTGGTACTAGCACTGGTGGTATTTTAGCACTTGGTTTAGGCTGTGGTAAAACTATGCGCCAATGTATGGGCTTATACCTACGCATGAAGGAGCAGTGCTTTGTTGGTTCTAGACCATATCCCAGTGAATTGTTCGAATCAATATTAAAAGATAACATGGGAGAATATACAGTTATGACTGACATAAAGCATCCAAAAATAATGGTTACCGGTGTTATGGCGGATCGGAAACCAGTGGATTTGCATCTATTTCGAAATTACACAAGTGCTAGTGATATTCTTGGTATCGTCACACCAATTAGTATGTATAAGCTATTTACATGGTATTTTCATTCCTTCATTTATTTAATTATTTTTATACAGCTAATCGTAGAGTACCGCCACCTCAACCAGAGGATCAACTTATTTGGCGAGCTGCAAGAGCAACAGGTGCTGCTCCATCATACTTTAGGTATTTATTTTTGATATAATAAAATAATATCAAAACTTAATATTTGCTATTTCGATCAGATCCTTTGGGCGTTTTCTAGATGGTGGATTAATTGCAAATAATCCAACATTGGACGCAATGACTGAAATACATGAATACAACATGGCGTTAAAAAGTGTTGGACGTGGAGCTGAAGCTGTGCCGGTATGTTTTGTTCATTAACATTTTTTATCTTACTAATGTCAAACAGGGTTTTCTGATTAAGTTTTATGTTCAAATTAGTTGTTATATATTAAAACTTTTTTTTATTTATTGTAAACTTAATTTGGAATCTATCTTATTGACAATTATTGTACAGTAATAATTAGTCTCCAATGAATTCAACTGTTATACACAGTAGAATAGAGTTAATGCCAAAAACAGGAACTCACATTTAATTTAAAAGAAGATTAGAAGAAGAAGAAGAAGGTTATATGAATTAATAATTTCATATTTGACAGATATATATAAATACGGCTATAGAATAATATGGAACTGTGTCTATATATTTTTACTTTAACCTCAAAGTAAATTTTTTTTTCAAAGCTGAAGCTAGAAAAAAAAATTAGAATATCAAAAAAAAAACAGCAAATTGATTTCATTTATGAAAATACTATTTATATTAAAATGTAAAAAATATCTTGTTACAGATATCAGTTGTTGTTTCGCTTGGCACAGGCCTGATACCAGTTACTGAACTAAAAGAAATTGACGTTTTTCGTCCGGAAAGTATATGGGATACTGCAAAACTAGCAGCTGGTTTATCAACAATTGGTAAGTGAATCAAATTTTTGTATGTTGAGCACTATTTTTACTCCTTGCTTTTTATTATTCAAGGCAATTTACTAATTGATCAAGCAACGGCCTCAGATGGACGTGTTGTAGATCGTGCACGTGCGTGGTGCAGTACTATTGGCATCCCATATTATCGGTATGTAGATAGATAATATTTAATGTAATGTTATATATATTATTTTTAACTTGTATGTTTTTCTTTTCAAGTTTTAATCCACAACTTTCTGATGATATTGCTATGGATGAGAAAAGTGATCAAAAACTTATAAATATGCTTTGGCATGCAAAAGCCTACATTCACAGTAATCGTAATAAAATAATAGAAATGATCAATTTTCTTAAGTAGCATAAAAGACTAATTAAGGCCGTTAAGATTTAAAAATTACATTCTTTAACTTTTTATATGCACATATAAGTTTTCTTAAAAAGTTGATTGAATAGAAAAGAAGCTAAGATGGGGAAAAATGCGGTCTTAATTTATTAGGAATCAGTTAAGTCTAAACAATGAAGCGTTGACTGGTATGCGCGAAAAAGTCTTGAGACAAAATTGAATACTAGATTTTTTTAGATTTTTAAAGAACTTAAGTTGATAATCTATCATAAATTTTATACAAATTGAAACACCACCAACAGTTAGGTATCTTTTATATAGAAATGGAATTTAACAGATGCTGTAATATTTAACAATACATTAAAAGTTAACTAGATTTTGATATTATTTATTTTTTAGAAAATGTCTCTCTTTAGTTGTATGTTCATTGAGTAATGAGAACCAAATAGTTATTAAAAATATAAAATTACCAAATTTTAAAAGCTCTTATAAGCTAATAATTATGATACTAATGTGAAATTTTTAAAAGATATAGTTCAAAAAACATTATGTTACTTTTATCAACCAATTTAAACTTATACTTAAATATAATAGCTTTGTTAGTATTTCAATGTATTGAATATATATTTTAATTTTGATGTGATACGTGTTTTATATAATATTAATGTATTTCTAGTAGCCAACATTTATATACTGTTCTCATTAAGTTTTAAATGTATTTGATTTAAGTCTATTTAATAAAAATTAAAATTTTAGTTTTCAATGAATTTATGTTAAATATATTTAATACAAAATACATGAATTTCTACTTGTATTCATAATTTTTTTCTGGTCTATGAAGTTATACATTATCATTTTAACATAATTCATTTAAACACTTTTCTAAATAAAAACATATATGTTAAACAATTGAATTTTTAAAACCAAATTTTGTTTACTTTAATGAAAAATTTTTCTTACTGCATTGTTCTAAGGATTTCAACTTAAAATAAAATGTTATATTATTGTTATTATTTCCAGTTACTCTGACAAATTCAATTTCATGTAAATCCCTTTAAGAATGATTATTGATGTTTGAAAACATCATTTCTTTTGGTTTTGACTGATTAAAATTGTGTGAACTTGACATGAAGCATTCGTAATTATCCTTGCAATCTTGGAACGAAATTATGTATGTAAATCCTGAATTTTATGGTGTAATTGAGTATATATATATACACCATGTATACATATATATACGCCAGTTATATATTGCGTATATAACTGAAAGCTAATATATGGTTTAGTGAACTCCGATAAAAATTCCCTAACAAAATCTAGATATTGCTTGTAGATTACAAATACAATAGTTTTTATGAGGATATGTTACTTTTAGAAAGATTTGGTATTGCTCCGACCATTAAAGTATCTCATCAAATAAAAGGATAAATACGTATTGATAACAGATAAATTCTAATTGTTTAATTAATAAAAATTTCTTATAATGCTTTTTAGTTTAGTTAAAACGTATTTTAACTTTATAATGGCATTATAAAGCACAGACAGAAGCTAAACTATCATTAAGGGGCTAAATTATAATTTATTTGCTCATTAAACAGATTTAAATGATCAATAATGATCTTTAAATGACGGAATTTAACCCAATTTATTTCTCATTTAGGTTTTTAGAAAAGAAGATGCTGCAAGTGAAACGCTATTTTTATTGATCATTTTTATCTAATAACTAAGATTTCGGACTAAGATTTGTAATGAGTATTTATTAAATTTAATCGATGTAGTCACTAATATATACGTCGACATTTATATACAATATCTATGAAACCTTAATCCGTTCGAATTAAAGACCAATTTCTTACTACGCTCTAATAGAGTAAGAGATATTGATTGATAATGGTATTGAAATCCACTCGCATCGACCACTTAAAAAAGACAGTTTATAATGATATTATTGGCTAAAGAATTCGCTTACCAGTAATGTTAACAACTATTGAATATAACGACGGATTAAATTAAATTTTATTATTATAAACTCAGATATACATATGATAGTACAAATCATTTTTTGTAAATTAAATCTATTAGTCTGAAATAAAGATTTTAACTTTCGTCGTCGCTTCAATACTCTTTGACGGAGTTAAATAAAATTCAATCTCTTTTATCATTTTCTAACCTAGGTACTATGACAACATTCATCATTAAAGATTTCACTTACCAGAATTGTCGCTCAATATCTAATACTGAACCTGAATTCCAAATAGGAGATTCTTTTAAATAACCCTTTTACTGACTTTTTCTTTGTTTAGTTATTGTATTTAAAAATACTTTAAATATTATTTAAGCTCTTCGAAGCATTAAGCAGTTTGATAATGTTTTCTAAGTTCGAGCATTGACCTCCAGCTCAAAGAGCAGCTCAAATATGATCGAGTATATCATATCATCGAGCAATGCTATTTACATAGCATCGAGCAAATTAAATATCGAGTACCAACAACACCATCGAAAGTTTCAACATAAGCAAGCAGTTTTATAATCATCTACTCTAACATTATCAAGTAACTCGTAAATCATCGAACACTTCGAACATCATAAAGTAGCTATACTATAAATGTATAGTATTAAATTTTATAAAGTTAAATTTTATAAAAAATTAGCATGAACATTTAATTTCGTTTTATATTAGATATAATGTGCAAGTCGAATATAATGGAATAATTCAAATATCCTCGCGCAGCTCCAACATAATTGGTCACCATTGACCAAATCCAGCGACATCGATCAGCATCACCGAACAGCCAGAAGATAAGCGAGCAACTCAAGCATCATCGAACAACTCAAACATTATCCAGTAATTCACACATTATTAAATAGCATAAACATCATCGAGCAGTTACAATATCTTAGAACAGTTACAACCACATCAAATAGCTCCAACCACACAAAGCAGCTCAACCACATTTAGCAGTTTCAACCACATTAAGCAGCTCTAAACACATTGAGGAGTTTCAACCACATTAAGTAGCTTTAAACACATTTAGCAGCTTCAATAATATCGACCAAGTCAAATAATATCAAGCAACTGGAACAGTATCCAGCATCGCAAACATCATCGAGTAGTTCGGACACCACTAAAGTACTCGAATATCGTTGAACTCCTCAAATATTACCTAGCATCTGAAAATATTGTTAAGTAGCTTAAATATCATCGAATAGCTCATATATCATCCAGTAGCTCAAATATTATCGAATAACTCAAAATTCATGAACCAGCTCGAACATCATTGAACGTTTCAGACTTTATCTAGCATTTCGAACATCATTAAGTAGCTCATATATCATCGAGTAACTTAAATATCATATAGTAGTTTAAATATCATTTTCCATCTTGAATATCGTCAAGTAGCTCAAATATTATCGAGTAACTCCAAATTCATGGACCAGCTCGAACATCATTGAACGCTTCAAATTTCATCTAGCATTTCGAACATCATTAAGTAGCTCACATATCATCGAGTAACTTAAATGTCATTTAGTATTTTAAACATCATATTCCATCTCAAATATCAACAAGATCAAATATCATCAAGTAGCTCGAAAATCATAGACCAGCTCCATCATCATCGAGAGTCGCAAACACAATCTAGCATTTCGATCATTATTAAATAGCTTAAATATCATCGAGTAGTTCAAACATCACTAGTATCTTGAATACCATTAAGTAGCTCACATATCATCAAGGAGCTGAAACATCATCGAGTAAATTAAACGTCATTGATCACCTCAAACATCATCGAGCAACTCAAACATTTCGAGCTGCTTCAACAATATAATGTTGAAATATTATAAAATACTACTTTCAAGTTATATTGAGGCGCGAATATGATAACATAATTTTGATTTTGTTATCTCTGCTCTTGGAGTAACATAATCTTGATTTTGTTATCTCTGCTCTTGGAGTAACATAATCTTGATTTTGTTATCTCTGCTCTTGGATAGCAAAAGGTTGACCTTAAATAGTTGAACCTCAAAGTTGAATGAACCTGACAGATATTCAGTTGGTTGACAAAAATTTAATATTTAAAATGCCACACACGACTTCTGAAAATATTAATTAATTAAATAATCTCATAAATTAAAAAAAAAAAGTATTTAAATATTTATGAAATTATGTTTAGTGACTTTTAAATCCGTTTATTAGGAATATATTAACGTATTAAGAACTAGTTTGGATATAAATTAAGCTCTTGATTACTTTATTTTCGTGTGACTTGAGCTACTTTAGAGCGTTGCTTAAGCATTTTTTACAATTTTAAAAATATATCAAATAATTTAAGGAACTCAAATTGAACTTCGCATAAATACTCCCTCTCGTGTGAGAGATTTTTTAATTTTATATATAAATTACATATTTTATCTGATAGAAAAAGTTAAATGTAGTTAATTGTGGCAAATTAACGGAATTAGAAAAATTTCGTGTTCCAATTGTGTTTTGGACCTCCCAGCATCGTTGCTATCTTGGCGCAGGTACAAAAAACGTAACATTAGCCAGCGGGAATATAAACAACAACACGCATACTGTTGCATTTCCCTTTCTTTCGCGTGCAGAATGTAAAATACAGACAAGGAGATTTTTGTTAATTTTTAATTTTGTTGTTTGTGATGTTTTTTTTTGTTGAGGACGCTTTGTTTAGATTAAACAGAGTCGGCGCATTTGAAGTCGGTAAAAATATACGTGCGGCGTTGGAAATTAGTGGTGTTTTAACATAAAACTAGATATAAACAAAATACATATAATTAATAGATAAATCTATATTATAAGTACGTGGCTATATAAAAATATTGAGTGAAGTATTAAATTTGCGCTGAAACAATGTCGGGTACTATTCTAGAGAATCTGAGCGGACGCAAACTCTCCATATTGGTGTCGGTGTTATTGTTGTGCCAAGTGTTGTGTTTTTTGTTGGGTGCTTTGTGGGCGCCAGTGCCAGCAGGTCATCAAAATGTATTAGGAATGGTATGCAAGGATGTACAAGGTCGACAGAACGACACCACTCTTTGGCTGTATACACGTGGTGCAGGTAAATGTGCTTCTGTTTCACAGGAAGAAATCGAAAGTGACGACTTAAAGTTTGCAAATCAAATTGTGTATATTTTCCAAACGCCATTGCCACGCGACGGCAATGAGTTAGATTTCTCACGTTGGCAACAAAATCTTATCGGCGTATTGCAAGTAAATATTGCCTATAGTTCGAATGTAGAATTGGAAGCGCCTCCGAAGGAACTTCAACTGACTGTTGATGCACGCTTGGCTTATAGGTAGGTCTATGCTGTACAAAAATATTTAAATATGTGTAATTAATGAAAATTTCCAGAAATAAATATGATGCCCCCACGGATTGGAAATTATACTCGCGTTCAGTAGAACAACGTTATCTTGATTGCACTATATTACATAGAAGTCAACAGGAAACACTGTATTCTTGCGAAATGATACCGCTTTTCGAATTGGGTGCACTACATCATGATTACTATTTACTTAATTTACGTTTTCCACTCGATTCTGATATGAAATTAAATCTGAACGTTGGTCACATGCACGACTTAACACTGACTGCCATTTATCAAAATGGTGGCTTCACAAAGGTTTGGTTGTCGCTTAAAACGATATTATTTCCCTTCGTTGTACTCATCATGATTTGGTTCTGGCAACGTGTGCATATTTTGCAGCGTTCACCTGCTTTACTTGAATATATGCTAATATATCTTGGTAGCGCCTTAACGTTTTTAAATCTACCTTTGGAGTATTTATCACTCTATATAGAGATGCCCTATATGCTACTGTTAAGTGATATCCGTCAAGGTATATTCTATGCATTGCTACTTTCATTTTGGCTTGTTTTTGCCGGGGAACATATGCTAATACAGGAATCTACGCATAAATCAACCATACGTTCTCGCTACTGGAAACATTTGTCCGCCGTTGTAGTTGGTTGCTTGTCATTGTTTATCTTTGATATCTGCGAGAGAGGCGTACAGCTTCGCAATCCATTTTACTCTATTTGGGCTACACCAGTTGGGGCGAAAATAGCTTTAATGTTTATTATATTAGCGGCTATTTCGGCAGGTATATATTTCCTTTTCTTATGCTATATGGTATGGAAGGTGTTTAAAAATATTGGAGTTAAACGCACTTCGCTGCCATCCATGTCAACTGCACGACGATTGCATTATGAAGGTATACACTAATAAACTTATATTTTTATAAAATTCCTTTTTTCCTAATTTTTTTTTATTTACTTTGCTTACAGGTTTGATTTATCGTTTTAAATTTTTAATGTTAGCTACTTTACTTTGTGCTGCTTTAACTGTTGTTGGCTTTATTATGGGGCAAGTTGCAGAAGGCCATTGGAAATGGGACGAAGATATTGATATACAATTAACTTCTGCTTTCCTGACCGGAGTTTACGGCATGTGGAACATATATATATTTGCTTTATTAATACTTTATGCTCCAAGTCACAAACATTGGCCAGCTTGTACCAACGAAGAAAACTCTCAGTCAAATGAAAATATAGTAATTGCGGCTGGTGGTGAAGAAATAGAATTTAGTCATTTGCCATCTGATTCCAATCCTAGTGAAATATCATCTCTAACCTCTTTTACCAGGAAAGCAGCATTCGACTAAAGATATTATTTACTCTAAGAAAACAGTTAATGACAGAGACTGAAATGTAACGAAAAAGCAAAATTTTCATTTCTGGAAACGCACATCTCTCAACTCCATCTTAGTCCTTTATTTATGAATAAATAAATAGTTATTTTTCTGTTTTTATTTTTTCAATAATATGCTGAAATATCGCACAACATTCATCTTAAACCAGTAGGGTATTATTAATATAATTAACTTTAATTATATGTAATTATTTAATTAATTAAAAGTTAGGCCAAATTTTTAAAAAAGTAATTTTTGTTCAACCAATAATTGTATACCATTAATGATTAAATTTTAAGCTAAATTAGAAAGAAAAAATTCGTATCTAATATAGAATAATCTATTATGAAATCCCAAAGTGTAATTATAAAGTATACTTTATAATTTCGATTAATGTAGCCTACTTAAATCTTTATTTTTATTGTAACATTTATGTCGTATTTACGTAGCATAACATTTTTGAATGTACTTTTATATTATATAAGCCTAAAATTGATATGATTCAACTTTCAGTATTATTATTCTTTGCCGTAGAATACTACTTTATCATATTAAAGAATATGTCGTATTATACATATAATTATTATCTTTGTATTTTTCTAAAAATTTGTAGTAATAAAATAGCAAAATTAGTAATAATATTGTTGTGGACTTGTTTGAAATTTAGGCATACGTTTGTGGATCCATTATGTAGTGAAGATATATAATGAATGTTGTATTAACTATACAAATTCCAAAGAACTATTTGCTTTTGATGTTTATAATTTTATACATCACTACTGGAATTAGTTTTGTTCGGTATTTATGAAACATAAATGATCACTTGTTCTCTACAATAATAAAAGTTCAACATTTTAATTAAAATACGGTAAAAACTATCCACAATGGGCGCCGATAAGACCAGTTGTTGTTGTTGTTGTTGTAGTAACCCTTGGAGATCTATAGAGCAGATAATATGAATGGAATTACAAAAACGTATACAAATGTTACGATTTGATTAGGTTTTAAATCCGGAAACACTCGTAAATTTTGTCGAGTGTACCGTTCAACCTTCCCAAGGGGGACTATCCCAGCAGATATGTGTTTTAACAGGACCAGTAATTCTGTTTAGCTAGAAGAATTTTGCTAACTCTCATTGTAGTCTAAAAAGATCTTTGTTAAACGAATGAGAGCTGAAACTGAAAACATTAATATATCGAACATTTCTGTTATTATATTCCGTGGAAGGAGTTTAAGCATCCAATTTAAAGTAACGAGTGGTCAGAAATTGTATTTTGAATATGGACATCATCATATTCCTCATGCAATGAGGATATAAACTATTTTAATAATGATTTAGCTATAATTATATAAAAGTCTATTCCTTCACTGCAATTGCTGATGACTCTCACTATAGTCCAATTGTACGAAACACATTAGTCAGCAAATGTAGCTTAATCGCGCGCAATTATATAAAAATGCATTTAGTCTACTCAATGTTTGACATTTCTAACTACTGTAAGATGATTGGAGGATGGGCATAAAAGTGAAGAAAGTGAAATTTGCCTACAACTGGCTTTGGGAAACTTACCACTTCCTTTTAATAGGACAACATTCTCCAATTTCTCCAATTAATATATTCAAATATACAATTTAACAGATGAACACATCAACAAATCAAGGATTTGTTTGGGATATGGAATGGATAAAAATGAGGCAATATTATAATCTTAATTTTACGAAAACAATATTGAAATCTGCTAAATATTATTTAAATTCCAAATGGAATATTCCGATTTTTAAAAAAATCTGCAATTTCTTACATAGAAATTGTAAGAATTATTTATTTATTTATTTCTGAGTTACATTAAAATTAATTTTAAAGTTAACTAAATATAAGAAACTCAATTACTAGGTACTTCGCCCTATCCTTTATCCAGGAATATAAAAATCTAAAGTTTTAACTTAACGATTTCTAACCCATTTTGTGTTTATAGAAACTTTTAATTTTTAAATTATTTTTATTAAGTTATAGGCTATGAAAGCACCCCTACTTAAAAGATCTATTGTGCGCCATTACCAGTCTTAATACAGTCTTAATAATATGTATTTTTCAAAAATTATTTTTAATTTTTATTACTTCACCATACTAGAGTTTAATGTCGTTGATATACATTTAACTGAGCATTTTTATTAGACTTTGGATATACAGTCAAACTTTCATAACTCGAATTTTTATAACTGAATTTTCTATACCTCGAACTAAATACAGTGCAACAACGTTTAGAGAGCAAATTACATACTATTACAAAACAATTCTTTAACTCGAACTCTCCATAAGTCTAACCTTTCATCTGCGTAATGGTACTTCGAGTTATGGAAGTTTATAATTTAAAAATTAATTTGAAATTTTGTTTGAAGAATAAAAGTGTATCTTGTCATATAATTTCTTTACGTAGTTATTACAGTTATAATCAGTAATAATAGTTATGTATCAGTTATAATATATTTGTATTTATTTTGTACTTTAATACTAATTAACTTAAAATTTTTATATTTATATGTATTAATATACTTCCAATTTTTTTTTTATTTACAGCTTATTCATATAATGTTTCTCCAATGAGTATTTAATAATCTTTGGTTTCGCTCTCTATTGCTCTTATATTTACATGTCATACATAGATATCTAGTTTGCTTTAAATTTTTCATTTTACACACACTTTTGTCATGACAATTTCTGCTTACTTTTAAATTTATTTTCAAGAGAAAGAGTTTCTTACCACTGTATATTTCTTCGGTTCTGTTTTGACAGTTTGTTTGCTTTGGAAAAAAGGAAGCGAAAAAAGTGGAAAAAACACATAATACACAAAACAAAATTTTCCAAATGAGTGTGAAAATATCATTCTTTTTAAAAAAACGTGAGCAATATTAGTAACAGTGTTTCTATATGTTTAAGATATTAAATATAATAAAATAATCGAGTTAAATATAAAGTAATTGTCACAATGTCCGCTAATGATTCCGGCTGCGTGGAATCAAGTAGTGATAGTAATGACGGGCATAGTTCTGGTATAATGATAACACCTCCGCCTCTAATGCCGCCTACACCAACATCCTCACCCAATACACATGAATGGCATTGGCCAAATAGTAACAATCCAAATCCGCTTGGAGATCATTTTGCTTTACCGCATTTGCCACCGCTTCCGTTGAACTCGGAATACTTGCCCAGCATTATACATCCTAGTACACTACCATCGGGTAGTCATAATTTTAAAATGCGCCTACGTACACGTACCAAACAACGTCTGCGTTCGAGTTTTAGTAGTATGTATGCCGAATCAAATGGACGTAAATTACGCACCGCTGCGGCAACATGTAATATTGAGTTGTTGAATCGCCTATTGGAATCTGGTGTCGATCCCAATGCTGCTGATGAGTACAAACGCAGTCCATTGCATCTAGCCGCTTGTCGCGGTTACATACACATCGTCCAACAATTATTAAAATTTGGAGCAAATCCAAATGTTGTTGATTCATTAGGAAATACACCGCTGCATTTAGCAGTCATATCGGCCAGTTCCAATAATTTTAATGTTGTTGCGCGCTTATTATTAGCTGGTGGAGCCAGTGTACACATGTTTGATCGCAGCGGTAAATCACCTTTAGAACTAGCAGAAGCCAAGCTACGACTTCTACGTGCGCGTTATAATCATCCAACGCCAGAGACGGCTAAAATACTTGAAGATATGTGTATGCTTACAACGCTTATTCTGCGCTATAGGGTTAAACAACATCGTGAACTTGAAGATTTATCTGCGCTAGAGCAACGTTTACAAAACTTGAGCACCAGTGATGACCAAGAACAGGTTGTATCCCAGACGGCCGATGAATTACTCGCCAGCGTCGAACGTTTATCGATTAACAAATAAGCTCAAAAATTATTTAAACAATCAATTTATATCATGAATTTCTTTGTTTTTATTAAAGTTATTTTCATTACACAATTTGGCTGCCGTTGAAGCGTTTGTAATGGAGATTACATGAACTAAATAATTAAGTAAGAATGCTCTTGGATATGAAATAAAGTTAAGTTTTAAACTTAACGTTTCGTACTTTCAGCAAATGAGCTGCAAATTCATAAATAAACGCTATAGTATTTTAAGTTTTAAATATTAATTGATACTAAATACAAAAAGCAGCAACTGATGATCTATTTTAAAAGTTTTAAGTTTGATTTAAGCTAAGTTAAACAAAGAATTATAAAGTAAATATATATTATTAATGATATGTAATAAGCAAATCACAAAAATGAATTACATTACAAATATGTATGTAAAGTGTGAATTAATAGACGTAGCATGTATGGTATATTCATTTCTGATATTAATGACTTCTTTTAGTGTCTATGAATATGCTAAAAAAATACTAATGTATTTCAATCTTTAAGTGTGAAAATAAAGGCAGTCGCCTATTTAAAATTAATTATTTGTATTTTTGTTTTAAGTAAAAATAAATGGAAAATGATAAATCGTGAGATAAGATCAAATTATAAACATTCAAAGGTTGATAACAAAGTAGTTTGCAGTTTTTAAAAGAATAAAAAAAGGTGTTAAAAAAATATATGGTTTTAGGAGTTTATATTCGCCGCTTTTGAAAATAAACTATAATTACTTTATAAACTTTCAAATTAGTCATTTTGGAGTTTGCATTAATTACAAATATCGTTGAATTTAGTAAATTATTAGTAATTATAACACATGACGGCAAATCTTTAGAAAATAATTTTACTTAAAAGAATTTTGTACAAATATGTTCGTAATATCATATATAAGAGCGAAGAGTGGTACTTTAAAATTCAAGAATATTTTCCTATACATGCGTATAAATAAAATAATTTTTTTAACATTTTCCAATTGCATATGGTAGTTATATGTATATTATATTTCTGAACTTATTTAAGGGAGACGGAATGTTTAAAAACTAATTCAATGTGCATATGAAAACACTGTATTAAAAAAATACAGTACATATACTTAATATAAAATAGTGCAAAATATTTTAGGGTGGGCTTAAACAATAAAATATTCTAATTGGTGTTGTAGCCCGCTGGGATTTGTAAACAGATTACATGAAAGGATTCACAAGACGATTAAATGGGTAGGGTTATGGTAGAAAGGGGAAGGTGGAATAGGGAAAAACCTTCATACGCCACTGGTTAATTTACTAATAGTACAGCGTCTGCTTTACGGTGGATGGCTATAATTATGTTACATACAGTTGATATAAGCAATTGAATTATACAGCAATAAGCTTCATGTTTACTTATGTATATTCTTTATTTCATAGATTTAATATAATTAATTAATGTAACAAGGTGACCACACAACTATCTAAGGTAAAAATTTTTATTGAATATGTATAAATATTTATTACTGTAGCTATGGTAATAACAAAAAAAAGTATTCGAATAGGGCAAATATAATAAAATGCTTAATTAGTTTCAAAAATCTTACCATTTACCATTTAGATAAATATATAAATACGTCAAGTGCGCTACAATTTGCCTTTAAATTGTTTCTAAATTGACTCAATCAATTCTAAGTTTTATTGTATAAATAAGTATCAAATTATAAAAAAAAACATTTTCAAAAACTTAAGAACAATAATAATTATTTAAAGCAATAATATAAAGAAAATAATGTATAAAGTAAAATTTATATTTCAAATAACGTATAGTTGGAGAAAATTGTTAAAGAATAAAAATTATTGGCAGCTTTATATAGCAAATAATATTCTACTGTTAGGAAACATTTAGGTAGGGTGCACACCAAATTGTATTGAGGTGTTAAATTGTTTTAATAAATTGATTAGTATGTAGTGCAACTGTTTTTTTTTGTTTACGTATTTGCGAAGGCTATATTTAAAGTTATATAACTAAAATTACAATAAGTCCGTTGTTAATAAACGATTTTAAAAATAACTTTCACTATAAAAATGAATAGGGTATACATTTTATGTGGTATTGTATTGCATTACATTGTAATTACGCTTATTATTTACATTACATTATTATAATTTACATTATACGGAGCGATATTAACCGATACAACACTTAAGTAATTTTTTAAGATTAATTTTGTTGCTAAACTTATGTAGAAAAGCGAAATAAACATTTTGAAAAGTAATACAACATTATTTGGGTATTTACAAATTACATATAATTTGCTACTTGGTATTAAAAATAAATTGCCCATGTAAACGTAAAATATAGCATTTTAATCCTAAATTTTCTTCAAGTTCTGGAAATTGTGTTATTTTAAAAATAAAAATAAAAATCTATTTTTTATCAAAAGACATAAAAATGAGAAACAAAATTTATATAAAGTGATTGAGCTAAACAAACATTGCTCAGTAATTAAATAATCGGTAAAACTATAAAATTACCGTTATACTGGATTCTAGACACTAGAGTTTTGTTTGTTATTAAGTATAATTCATTTTTGTTATATTGGACTCACACGAGAGTTTTGTTTGTAATTTTAGCTGTCAAAAATTTTCATTTTTTATTGGTAGCAACAGCAATTGACAGCTAAAAGTACAAACGAAACTCTCATATGAATGCAGATGATATTGTTTATCGAAAACTGAAAAAATTATCAAACCTGACACCTCGGTAATTCTTTAACACGGTAACGTTGTTATCACACAAAAACAAATACCGAGCACTTTTGAATACCGCGGATGGTATACTGTGTAAACAGATTTTAACAAATTGAGCTAATTACTAACTAATTGAGCTAATTGAACTAATTACTACTCATGCTGTGTGAATTGGGCTTAAGCTACATTGAATCAAAAGTATTGCCAATCCAGCTTTATGATTGGTTATTTAAGTTCAATATTACATCATTCAAAGCTGATGTCGACTTCATTTTCTTTCCTATAAACCAATGGTTAAATATATTTTAAATGAAATTTGATTTTAAGGAACAGAGCAAAATTATATTTATTACTTGAGCTGTATGGATAAGACTTAAGCTGTAGTGAATCAAAAATGTTGTCAATCTAGGTATATAATTGGATATGCATAGAATTAACATTTGCATTCATTCAAAATAGAATAAATAGAATTTATTTTTTTTTAATGTGAATCATTTGTTTAATTTTAAAAGAATCAAATTGAAATGAAAAATTTGTATTTCGAGTAAATGAAAGTTATTTCATTACAAATTCTTATGCAAACAATGAAAATTTTAAATTTTAATATCTTAGGATTGACTCAGTGAAAAAATATATCAGAGACAGAGCTCTAAAATTATTCACTAAAGTTGATATGCTACTTAACCCCGCCCTAACAATCCTCAAGTCCACTTCTGGACTCTCAGGAAGATATGCTGATTTAAGTTCCGACATCAACTAAAAGATAAATAAATGATATGATTTTTTTAGCCTAGTTAAAGCCTAGTGTGGGGTAGAGATAAGCCCCCCAGCCATTATAGAGTAAACGTGCGTAATTTCACTAACTCAAGAAGAAGAAGAAAAATTTTAATTTTAGTATTAAAGTAAGCATAACATTTGCTGTCAAAATTAAAAGAGCAATATAAAATTAAATAATATTTCGTAGATAAAAATGTAATAACAAAAAATAAAAATTAAAAGCATTTATAAAAAAAATTTGTCTGTTTGGCATAATATCGAAATTTTAGCAAAATTAAAAATGGAAGCAGATAGTTGGCAGGTAAATTATGTATAGATATATTATGACACTTTACTTAATTAACTTTTGTTAGAACCTCCCCTTGCGTACAGTACTGTATGAATGGCTTGCTAAAAATATTAATTTAGAGGCACCATCACGGTGTGCAACTATTATCGGTTATATTGGTATTGCTTTAATCGTCTGGTACTTAATTCTCTGGGTGGCACGTGTGATTTTGTCTATTGTTTGGCCATTAGTGCTGGTTGCTACAGCAGTGGTAAGTATCTTTTAATCATTTTCACATATTTATTGTAATTAATTTTTTTTATTAATTTTGCAAAAAAGGTCTTGTTGCGTATGATTCGTGATGGAGAATCAGAAAATCTTAAGGAAGCAATACTACATTATATAGAGTTAATTGCACGTTTTGTGGTAAGAAATTATTTTCAAAATATTTTTTAGTGAGATAAATAAGAGACGAAATCTATGTTTACAATTTAGAACGCTAGGCAATTTATAAGTTTTCTATATGACTTACTCCGAGCGCTGTTTGAATGACGAAACCATTGTAATAATAAAAATTTCAAATGTATAAAAATCAAAATCATTATAGCCATGGAAAAAACTGTAACCTGAATATCCAATTTTGTTCGAATAATAAAAAACAAAATTAATATAAAATAGTAACTACACTAAAATTGCTATTGTATAAAATCAAAATTGCTACGTAAATAATATTTGAAAATTTGTGAAAAATTATTAACTATTTTTTGTTCGCCATGCCGGTAGCTGTACGCTTGATTGAAGTTCTTACTTTGGTGACCCTCCTAGGACTGTTAACTGGCTTTTCCATATTTATAGTTCTAGTACAGCGTGCCTTTTGTCTAGTCTTGTTTTTACTTAATGTGAGTATTCACACATATATATATATTTACATATAAATCAAGAATTGCAAATACTAAATATATTTTTTTAGCCATTAACACGGATTGTCGGCAGTATCTTATATGCTTCGGAAAAAATTATAGTTGGCACGTTGATGAGTATTTTAAATCTTACTAGTGTCTTGGGCTCATCTAATCGGAACTGATGCTAGCTTGGTGAACACACTTTTACCTTTTTCGTTGTTATAAGAGTAAACATTTTTAAAATTTTTATTGTTACTCTTATTAAAAATATATTTCAGATAGGAGAATGGAGAATGGATATAGCAGATGCTTCCCAATATTAGATACTTAACAATCTGAAGTGGGTTAATGAAAATGAAGTCATGTAGCGGTTAAAAAATTGCTTTGATTTGAACTATATACTAATTTAGACCGCACGTCTTAAACCATCTATTTTTATAAATGCTTTAAAATAAACAGAGTCTAAAATAGTATAATTAAGAAATTTTATTTCAAATCAGTATTGATATTGTAGTATCAGAAAGCAGTTATTTACAAACTCACATTGTAAATTGTATCTTATATAATCCGTACTAGTAAAAATATGAACGATGTGATCCTATATAAACTATTGTATCTACTTAATATATACATTAGTTTATGTGCACTTCTTATCTATAAAATATTAGCGAAATAAAATTATTAAATATTGACATGAATTAATTATTTAGATATGATTAAAAAATATATAACACATACATATATATATTAATGATTTCAGATATTAAATTTCAGTAATTGGAACGTATATTAGACGGGGGACCACGTAACACTTGATAAAATACATTTTGTTTTTCATTTAAATTTTTGTTTTGTGGTGGTACCAGACACAACACACTAGGAGGACTCGATTGTTTCATTGCCACTGAAAATTTGTTGACGAAAATAGTGCTATAATAAAGCTACGCGCATTTAAAATTTCTGCTATAGAAAAAGTAATATAATTCTCTTGACCTATGTAAGATTATTATAAGGTAGTTAAAGTTAAATTAGACACACAAGGTATATTGAAATAATTCCGAAGAACCAAGTTATTGTACCTGTTTTTCAGGCAATTAATTGATTGAATTCAGCCTCTATATATTTTTATCTCCTTTTTGTTATATATGGTATTTTGCAAATATAATTATTTCAAGTTCTCTCCATATTTCCAGTTTTAATCGGTATTATGTTTTATATATGTTCAAATGACATAAGCTGTTCCTAAGTCTTAACGTAAAATAACCTGATAATTAAAATGTATCGTTTTGGTGTCCCATTCGGGCTGATCAAAATCCTTGGCAGCTTCCTGAGTGAGAGGTCTTTCCGTGTAAGAATACACAGTACCATCTCATCAATCCGAAGGATAGAAGCCGGTGTACCTCAACGATCGCGGCTGTCTCCCTTGTTGTACCACATCTTTACGTTTGATATCCCAAGGCTAAGTCCCTCAGTGCTAACATTATACGCAGATAACACATGCATGTTATATTCCGATAAACATGCTAGAAATATAACCAACACGTTGCAGGACCATGTTAATCTCTTCCTAAAATTCTTCAAGAAATGAAAAATAATAACGAGAAAACTAAAGCCCTGTTTATAACTCATAACCACAGGCAGCATCCACCAAGAGTGAGAGTTGGTGACATTGCAATTAATTATGACAGCATCAAATACCTTGGAATCACATTTGATAAGCGGTTTACTTGGCACAAGCACATACAAGTCAAAAGAAGTAATTGCGCAAAAACACTGCACTGCTTACAACCACTTCTCAAACACAATAACCTTAGTGTGAAGAACAGAAAGCTGATCTGCAGCCAGTTAATCAGACCAGCACTATTCTATGGGTGTCTCGCATATAGCAAAGCTCCAAACTCTTCTATCCAGAAGCTGCAAGTTGCTTAAAGTCAGGCTCTCCGAAGACTTTTCAAAGTGTCTTGGTACATCCACACAAATAACATGCTAAGAGACCTTAGAATAGAACCGATCAAAAATTACATAAAGGACAGAGCCTTGAAGCTATTTCCGCAATCCGACAGGCTACGCAGATGTTAGATCAGTCATCGAATAAACACGAAGCTTTTGAGGAATACCTAAATTAGTCAATGAGAAGGGTGGGACTCTGGAGAAACCTCTCAGCTATCAAAGGGTATAAGTGCCGAATGAAGAAGTTTTTATTTTCACTAATAATGTTATAAACTATAATTTATGTCATATGAAGCAGTTTATTTAATTTAGAGCGCTAAATTCGATTTACCATACAAAGAATTTCTATGCTTTTTAACTTAATTAAGAATAAATCAAAGGTAATTACACCAAAAATGTCGAATGCAACATTGCAAAATATATTTCCCAAAAGGGAAATTATACAAATATGACTTATTCGACACATGAAGCAAAATGCAAAGAAATAAAAAATATATAAGAGGTAAAAAATTTTTAAAATGTTTGTTCTTTATAAATAAATATTATACACAAAATTTTTTGCATTTTTTTACTCTTTCCATGATCATTGATCAATTAATTAATTTCTGCTAACAATACAAAACTAAATATTATCTGCTAACAATTGGAATGTAAACAAACTTTCTGACACATAAAAGCTCTTTCACATGCATAAATCAACATTTGCCAATGGAAACGACTAAATCTTAATTTGATTTATATAAGTTGATTTATATGCAGTGGGAACGTGGTACTAGATAATCAACAAATATTAATAATATCTGTTTATATTATAAACTCTAACTCTAAACTCTGTCTCGATAGTAAATTGTTAATATATAAATCAATTTGAAAGCCAATTTAAACTTATGGTATAGAACTGTGGTGTTCTGCGTATAACTCAAATATAGGAAAAATCTAGAGAATACAAAATAAAATTCTCCGACAACCACATACGCTCCATGGTACATCTAAAACAAAAATCTTCACAAAGAACTAAATCTACCAAACGTTGAAGAAGTAATTCGCCAATATACACCTAAATTCTTAGAGAGACTCAAGTCGCATCTAAATCCTTATGCTCGATGTTTATCTTCTGCAACTGTAGTCAACCGGTTTAAAAGAAAACCATTGATAAATATGAATACCCTAACTTAATAGCATATTATGCATGTTAGATTTTTAAGATTCGCAAAATTATTATCAATTTCTATAAATGAAAGATTCAATAAATATATCAATGGAAAAAAAAATATATAAAATATATACGTATCTTATGATTATATATATAATATATGTATATATAAGAAAAATTCAACCAATGTGATCGAACAAATAAATGTGTAACTTTTTTAAATTTCTACTTTCTAGTCGTTTCTAGTTGATTGTCACAGTTGAAAGCCATAGCTTAATTAAATTCAAAGGAATGGATTAAGCACCAGCATTTCTATATTACACCCTATGGGATTTGATTTATAGACTAGAAAATATGTTAATTTATGATTGACTGTTGATTTGTGTGTTTTTTAATTTTGGATGAGTTTTACATAGAATATAATATATGCCCATTGTTAAATTTATAAATATACTCATATATACATATACTCATGTATAACATATTCATGGTTCCTGACCCACCATTGAATTTAAAATCAATACAATCTATACAACAAATGGAAGGGATGACATATTTATCAAAAACAAGCAACCAACAAGTGTTGTCCACGTCATCAGTGAGCCGTTTTCATAGTGCCTACCGGTATTTAATCAATGGATTAGTTCATATGAATGAGTTGTTCAAAAACCAAAACAATGGAACTTTGGATTGGTGCCATATAATAATATGCCACATGCGTAGAACTTTGTTTATGTTTACATTTCCGCACGGGAGCACGTGTATAAACAACTCCAGATGCCGGTACACGTGCCACTTCAAAAGGTAAACAAAAGCTGTGCGCTTGTGCAGGAATTTAGAAACGCTTGCGCTTTGGAACCCCTGAAGAGTAAAACCATTCTAATTTCGTACCAGGTCTGTTTATCTCTTTGTAACACACTAATGTTTAAAGGCATACCAAATCGACAGCGATTCATCGCCATATTCCCGTGAAAAACAGTATAGAGACAGAAAATTTTCACAAGAAAAATTCCAATAAACTAAAAATATTTCATTTTTTCGGTTTTCTAAGTTCGAAATTTCTAATAATAATAGTATATTTTATACATTGTAGAGTGTGGAGATTAATTAGTTGATTTAAATGAATTTATAAAAGTGCTGGAAATACAAAATTTGTTCAAAGTTTTTATGTGAAACATACGTGAAATCACTGTAAAAGATGAAAAACAATCGAAGAGTTTTTATTTTGAAATCGTTAAATAATCATTTTTAATTTTATTTTTGTGGAAAAAATTAATTAATTAGTGGAAATATGGCTTTAAATTGGTGTGGTCCAGTTTACCTGGCCACACTTTGTTTCTTTTTATTTTATCCAAATGGTGCCAATTTAGTGCCAGGCGAGAGAATCAATTATAATTTGTAAGTCAAATCCCTAAACTTACAAGATTTATTAAATATCGTCATTTTCAAATGCAGAGTGCATTCATGGGCGGATAAACTAGGCATGGAACTGTTTCATTTAGGTGATTTCATCACTAGAAGGAAAGAAGTTCAAGAGGTATGTCCATTATAATGTTGAACGCATACAATTAGAATGTAAGTTAGTGGAGCACTAATTATCGATTTTCCACCCGCCAGATTGGCTTTCTTATGTTGCTATTTTTTTCTCGGTACAGGGCTAATAATTGAAAAAGAATAAAATTGCTAATGGAAATAAGTTTTTAATAATTTTATTTATTTTTAATTTTAATTGAAATTTTTCTAATAAATTCCATTAATTTTTAATAATAAATTTTTATTTATTATTATTATATTTGTTGACATTTTCTAATTGAATTAATTAAATTCAAAAACATCAAACATTTACTTAATGGATTTTCGAAAATAATAAATGCAAGAATTATTTCCAAGACCACTGATGATGGCTATTTGGCAATACTCGAAACAGCTGCATGGTCAGCCCAAAATTCAATTAATTAAATTCAATTTTAATTCAAAATACAATTAATATAAAATGAATTTTTGTTGTTGTAGTTCACTACTATTCGAAAAACCTCTTTATTTCTTTTTTTTTGAAAATATATGACATTGAATATACAAGTATACTGCTAAATAGTTTAGGTTATTTTGGATATATATAGGGTATATATACCCTACAAGAACTCACATATTTAAAAACTCTTGGTATAACCTAAAATGCTTTTAAAATGGAGATCCTGGAGCTGGCCAATATCTTCAATAAAGCAAGTCCCTAGCAGTATAGTAACAAAGGAGATGTGAGATACTTTTATTGTCGTCACCACAATAACGACAGGAATGATTAAACAGCACATTAAATCTTCTATCATAATACTTCTAGCATAAAAGAACGCTGCAAATATATATAAATTTTAAATATATCGTTAAAAGTATAGTTTTCAAATACGAAATTTTGTAAACAACTCACAATACATCTAACTTAATAATTAGATGTCCCAGTAACATCAAGCAACATTATCTTTTGTTTAAAAGATTGTTAAGTAGTTAAGAGGAATGTAACTGTGTGTTTTATAACACTGTGACGCACTAAATCATATTTCTGTATTATTCAAAGTCTAGAAAATTATTTCCTTAGATGTATACATATAAGCAGATATTGAATACTATATAGAGCACATATAGAGTAATTCATTTCGTGGTGTTGATTTAACTGCACTGTGACATTTAACAGAATTATTACCAAAGATATTATGTATTTAGTCTAACATTTTATCATTAAAATATTGAAAACTTACTACAAATATGACTACGATTTTTCGTATCGAATTTTAGATGTTTTTATAGTGAAAGATTTCCGATTATATTAGTTTTTTCTGCTCTACGCTAGATAAACGTTATATTGGAGGTCTTCTGTATTATATAGTTAAGCAAACACTTTTAAGTACCTTCTAATTAACATACATTTAAGTCACATAAATTTTAATAATTTATTTAACATATCATGTAAACATTTCCTATTACTAAGTTCTTATTAAAACTTTTGCTTCCAAAATTACTCACACACATTGCGATTACTAGAGTTTTAAACAAGCTCAAGTGGTCTCTAGATCTGGTGCTAAAATTGTTGAAAACATGGCAAATGAAATCGAAATGATGATGGATCTAAAAATCAGCGCTGTAAAGGTAATCATATCTAATGGAAGAATATATAATATAAATATATAATTTATATCTAACTATATATAGTTTAATATAAATATTTTATTTAACTTATTTTAAAATTAAAATTAAATTAGCGCATTATGGACACAGCGGAAAATACTGCACTATCACATCAGCATTTGAAAGGCGATAAATTTTTTTCCTATTACAATTCCAAAGAAATGATAGAGCCGCATGAGCCAAGTCCAACAGCACCGCCACGTGAACTAGATGATGCTGGGGAGCCAAAAATATTTGTACCGCCAAAAGAAATAGTGCTTACACCCAAAACTGAGTTTTTTAATATGGCAGTGAACTTAAGCGTCAGTTCAGTGCATGTACCGACGAATGTATTTGACCGAGGTTTGGATTAGTTTTTTCAATACTTTTTCAATAATATTATAAACATCTCTAATGCTTTAACACGCACCGAGTATATATGAATATACATATGATGAAGGATGTAAAATTGTTAAGCAATCGATTAATATTGAGATTTCCAATAATATTATAATCGTATGTACATAGTACATATATAGTACATAGTTGTTGAAGAACTAACTTTAATAAAAAATTATTTTACATCCTTTTAATCTGAAGCTTAAGTCAATGCACGCTACTTCCATCACCCATTTCATTAAATATTGCACATTCGTATGCAATTGAAACTGAATTTTTCCAGAAATAATTGTATGAATATTTTTAATGCCAGATATGTACCTAAATATTTTAAAAATGCATAAAAATAGACATGCAAAATGTTCTGTACAAATTCGGTACCTTTATGTGCCATTATACCTTTATAGCACTCATTCGATGACAATATCTTGTGCATCAATTTTATATTATATTGTATCACATTATATATATTATATGGACATATTATATTGTATGTTGTAGATTGGCTAAAGAGAACGTGAAAATTGATTTTAATTATAATAAAATTATTTGTTTTCTTTTTTTCTTTCAAAACAAAACAAATCACTTTCCATGTTCCAATATTGATTGCGAATTCATGAATACTATAAACCATTTGACACATTTCATCGACATCATTTTATCATTATAATTGGAATAAAATCGATCAAAATTAATATGATATATTCATCAATTCATTAGCGTTGGATGTTATAAAGGGTATACAATGGTCGGAAAATTTGGATCAAATATTTCGTGATAATTACAAAAATGATCCAACGCTTTCATGGCAATTCTTTGGCAGTTCGACTGGCTTTATGCGTCAATTCCCGGCATCGAAATGGAAAACGGAACCGGTTGATTTATATGATTGCCGGTTGCGTTCATGGTTTATAGAAGCAGCAACAAGTCCAAAGGATATTATTATCCTTATGGACGGTTCAGGCTCAATGAAAGGACAGAGGCTAGATATCGCAAAGCATGTTGTAAATACAATACTTGATACATTAGGTACAAATGACTTTGTGAACATCTTCACCTTTAACGAAGAAGTCCTGCCTGTTGTTGATTGTTTTGAGGATGCACTTGTTCAAGTATATATTTTAACTATATATTTATTAAATTACTTTTATGTTTATTTTGATATATTTCAAATTGAATTTATCTTATTTATCTTTATTTTTTATATATTAAATTATTTCAATTATTATTTTATTATATTTTTCTTACAACAATAGTAGTCTTATTTTAATAGTGAATCGGGTTAACTACTTTAGGACAATTAAATAAATGATTTTTGTGTGAAGAAATGATAAAAAATTCAAACAAGTACAACTTATACTTATATATACTATATATGTACTAAAAAATATTAGGTCCTATTAATTTTATATACGGAATGCTTCAATCAACGTGCTTTAGCTTTGAAAGATGATATCTTGATTTGAAAAATCCAAAAAGTCATATGAATAGGGTGGTTAATTTCATTATTGACGAAGATACAGGATGTCAAATAGTCGTACATGTGAAAAGATCTTATATCAAAAAGTTGCTATAGTTTTAAAAACTAATATCCGGAATTTGTTTCATATATATATACTTTATGTGGTATATTTTCATATTTAAATAGATTTATAAGTTGTGGTCGGTCAAAGTTGATTTTTGTATAAATACCATTTTTGGGTAAATGTTATTTTTCTTAAAATTCATTCTAAAAAAAAGACTCTCATCTCATATTAAAAAAATGACCAAAATTAATAGCATGTACTATGATGTTATTAATGATATAAATATTTTTAATGGAAAATAATAAATAAATTCTAAACAAGTATGGTTAAATTAAGTATGTAGAGTATTGCTTACCTCAAATTACAGTATTTTATATACAAGTATTATGATATGATATATATTGACTACTATATAGTCCATTTCACTAAGAAAGGTCATTGAACATTAACAAATTACTCACTAAAAAATTGGTGAAACCGCGGTTAACCATTTTCCCAATATATTATGTTTTATTTTTTTTAGAAAAATATTGGTGTCGGTCTTTGCTAAAATAGTTTTGAAGATTTTACCGCTCTCACTAATATACTTTGAATATATTTTAGCTCCATGGGTTAGAGCTCCATATTTTTAGCTCTTAACCCAAGATGTATAGCTCCATACGTTTTGGGTTAAGAAACATTGCTATAGAGTTTTAAACATTTTTAAAATATATTAAATTCAAACATAACCCTTAATATCATAAACTAGAATACTTCTTCGGTGAACGTACTAGCATTGTACTACTTCTAGAAACTCTGAAAAGCTGTGCAAAAAGTTTTATTTTTATTTATTTTTTTTTTAAATCGTTTTTTATATTAAATTTTATTTTTAAAATCAATTGAACGACATTAAATTTTTTTTTTTTTTTTTTTTTCATTTTAATTTAATATGGTTTTAAATTAATATTTCTCATTTCCCAGTTTTATTTATTATTTTTTTAAATCGTTTTTTATATTAAATTTAATTTTTAAAATCAATTTAACGACATTAAATTTTTTATTTTTTTTTTTTTTCATTTTAATTTAATATGGTTTTAAATTAATATTTCTCATTTCCCAGTTTTATTTATTATTTTTTTAAATCGTTTTTTATATTAAATTTAATTTTTAAAATCAATTTAACGACATTAAATTTTTTATTTTTTTTTTTTTTCATTTTAATTTAATATGGTTTTAAATTAATATTTCTCATTTCCCAGTTTTATTTATTATTTTTTTAAATCGTTTTTTATATTAAATTTAATTTTTAAAATCAATTTAACGACATTAAAATTTTTTTTTTTTTTCATTTTAATTTAATATGGTTTTAAATTAATATTTATCATTTCATTTTATTTATTATTTTTTTAAATCGTTTTTTATATTAAATTTAATTTTTAAAATCAATTTAACGATATTAAATTTTTTTTTTTTTTATTTTTATTTAATATGGTTTTAAATTAATATTTATCATTTCCTAGTGTTTTATTAAAACAAACCCTTTTATTTTTAATGCATACTTCTCGATCAAATGCTTTACTATTTACGTACCTATTCGGTAATATAAAAAAAAATTGGCTTAATATATATGAAATTAAAAAAAAAAGGCAAATCTTGCTAATATTCGAGAACTAAAAGAGAAAATTGAAGATTTTAAACCCAAATCGATTGCCAATTTCACTGCGGCATTGACAAAAGCCTTTGAAATATTGGAAGATTACAAAGACGGAATTAAAGGAGCACAATGCAATCAAGCAATTATGATAATCAGCGATGGAGCACCGTTTAGTTATGAAGAAGTTTTCGACCAATTTAATGGGCGAGAGCTGCCCTTTAAACCAGTTCGCGTATTCACATATTTAATTGGTAAAGAAGTTGCCGATGTGAAAGATATAAAATGGATGGCATGCGCTAATCAGGGTTATTATGTACACCTGAGCGATATGGCTGAAGTACGAGAAATGGTATTAAATTACATACCAGTTATGGCAAGGCCATTAGTATTAGGTCGGCATGAGCATCCAGTAATTTGGACGCAAGTATACGCAGATGTAGTGGTAAGTGAAATGAATTAAAGTAATAGATACTTTTCAAAAAAGTATTTTAACTTTGTTACAATAACAGTTTTGGAAGTGTAGTGATAGTATAAAGAGTGCAAATATAATTAATAAATGCATTGGATTTCTATTTATTACACTGTACAATTTTATATAGGATATGAAGATGTCAGATTGGCTGTGGGAAATGAAGCAATGTGACGATCAACGTGATGATGTTTTAGAATATCGCAGAGTAAGATATCGTATGCTAGAACCCGATGAGGTACATCGAAGAGATATCAGGCGAAAGAAACAGGTTAATATTAATAAAAATAAATTGTTTTCAATATTTATATTTATAAGTAATATATTTATATTATATTTTTTTACTATACTATAGTTTTTATTTCTTTTTGATTTATATGTCTGTTATAATGTTCTCGTTATCAAATTATAAAAAATTAATAAATATATAGTAATTTTTTAAAATTTGAAATTAATAGTATTATTTATTTTGATTAATTTTAATTTTAGGCTTGGAATCAACCAATCGATTCAGATGTATATCAATTTATGATAACAGTGTCAATGCCCGTTTTTGATCGACGTGAAAATGCGGTAAGATTAAAAAGGATCTAAAATTTTCATTAGAAGAGAACGATAGATTCATATTCTATATATATATATATATATGTATACATAAATATATATAAATATATATGTATGTATATATATATAAATAATTTATATAAGTCATTAAGTTCATCTACAATAAATTCTAACCTTTGTTTGTAAGAGGTTTTCTTAAGTATCATTAACACAATTTTTATTAATGACAATTGAATTTTATGTAAAAATGAAAACTACACACAAATATTACCAGAATTTCACCGAAGAGGTTTTAATAAATGAAGCACTTTGGGAGTTGCAAACACGTGAGGTACAAACAACTAAATTAAACCAAAACTAGAAAGTATAATAAAATTGTTGCTGATATAATGTAAACGATTTGTTCTTGCGCTCTTATATACTTAGTGATGGATTTAGCGTAAAATTGTGCGTTCATACTATAACTAGTAATTAAACTATAGCGATTGATGACTAAACTATAAATGAGTACTTACACAAATATATTTATAATAAATAGTATTAAAACTTAGTGGCTTTTCGATATAAAAGAAAAAAAAACTAAAACTAAAAACCTATAATCATTAATAATAATATAAATGCATTACAAAAAATCTTAAATTGTTATAATTAAATTTACAACTAATACATTGATAAAGACATATTTTTTATGTATTTAGTGTTACATATTACATACCATAGATAAACAAAATTCTACATAGAATCGTAATTTAGTAATGATATATAAACCTATATTTGCTTATATTGTGGTAAATATTTTTGCAAATATTTATAGAATTTATTTTTAGTATAAATTTTTTTTTTCGTAGCAAATAAAAAAAAGAAAGAAATTCTTTTTTACTTTTCAAATAAGTAAAAAAAATTATTATTAAACAATTTGATTTTATTATTAAAAACAAATGTTAGATGTTTTCTAATTTGATTTATTGTCTATTTATATATACCATATGTAGTTTTGAATTGGCTATAGAGAAATATAAAGTTGTAGTTAGGAATCCGAACTTCAGATACTATAGAGCCCATTACCTTGACATAGATTTTCGAAACTTTAAAAAGCTTTAAACTAAAATTCTTTCTTTCATGAACACTCCAGGGATGTTACTTTGTTTTTAATTTTTGAGTTGTTACATTGAAACTTTAAATCTTCAGGGATGTTAAACACGCCCAAAACTTGTAATGCTTTCTTTCATGAATACAACATTTATTGGTATGTTTTGTCAAAATTATGGTAGTTACGTTCCGATAACAGTTAATATTAGAATATATTTGTTTCAATACCGAAAGTATATAGTTCTATCAGCTATATATAGGTCTTTAACATTTGTGAATAGAACAACACAAAAAATATTAATCCTTTCTTCCATGAATATATCATCTCTAAAACTTTTCATAATATTTCAATTTAAAGCACTTGTTTTTGTGAAAGCCCCTACTGTTGCGTTTAATTTGGTTTTATAAACTCACTAACACTTTAGTGATTATAAACATATTATTTTGAGGGGGAGTGGTTGGTTGTATGGTCTGTCACGACTTGTCTTTCAGCGTTGTTCGTACGCTGCCCACTACGGCCCACTACGGTCCACTAAGGACCGCTGTCCACTGCGGTCCACTAAGGACTGCTGCCCACTACGGTCCACTAAGGACTGCTGCCCACTACGGCAGCGTTGATATTATTAAGTCTTACCTTAAATTAAAAATAAAAAACTTATAGAATATCCCGCAGAGAGCATTTGACCTAAATGAATTTTAAAAAAATTTTTTTTGGGACAACATTAATATGATTAATTTTTAACACCAAAAGTGTGAAGTTAGAACTGATCAAATTTAGGAAATAAATAATTGTAACTTCTGTATAGGTTAGGTTACGTTATACCGACGATCTCGAGCAGATCCACTTATGCCTATTGGCCCATTGTATTACCGGATATATAGAAAATTCAGGGTTTAAAACCACCACGAAAAATCTGCAAAACTGTTCTTTATCTTTGATACAAATAAGTAAAAATGCGTTTCTTTTTATGAATGAAATATTTATAAATTTACCTAGATTTCAATGGCATAATTAAGGAATTAAATTATAAGTTGATTTGCAAATGAAAAATGATTTGCTCAAATACTTAATAACCCCTAAACACAATGAATTACTTTCTAAAAATAAGAGTGCAAGTCAATATGAACTTTAATTAGTTGACGACATAATATAAATGTAACCAAAAAATTGACATGATATAAATTTATAGAATATTTATATATTGATTCAATAATCTTTTGAAGTGGTTGAAGATTTAAATTTCAAAAATGAACTGAACAGTGCGAAAAGCCATACATAAACCGGATTTAACCACAAAAACAAGTCTAGGATACCCAGACGAATTAAAGTTGTTTAAGTTTTTAAGCAAATGTAAAACTTTTTTTGATATTGGGCATGATCTTTAACTATCTCAGGACAAAACTGAGGTTCTGGTTTATTTTAAAAAATATCAGTCATCTTGACAGCCACCTACGTAGCCACCATGGCAATCAAATTCCAACAAATAATAACAAAAGGGATTATGGAGTATTTATAATAACTAAATACACTGGGTCAGAATAATCAAGTTTTTAATTAATAGTAATCATGATTTTTATAAACTTCGGGGCAGTTTGGGATCTCATACATTAATCGTTTCTATTTTTATTCTAAAAAAAAACTCTTGTAGGTATTATCTGCCTTCTTTCATTGGTCTACTGCATTTCTATATTGTCAATTATAAACTTCATTGTATTTTTAAAATTTCATTAGTAAATAAAATTATTATACTAGTAAAAAATTAAGTAACTATGTGTACTATCAAAGGTTATATTTATAAAGTGTTACAGTAGCTAGATTCATTTGAAACATTTTAATTTTTAAAATTATATATGTTAATAAAATAAAAATTAATTTTTAATAATAAAATGTTTTTGATAATAATACAGTGAAAGCTCTGTTAAACGGATAATCTCATAAACGCACTGCTTTTATAGGCGTACAATGTTGTTAGTCCCCAGTTTTCAACCAATATGTAGTATATTATTTTAAACGGATAGGTTTATTAATCTAACTGAATACTGATCTCAAATATGGCCGCTTAAGAAAGCTTTCACTGTATTTACCAACTATTAAAGTAGATAAAGAAATTTTAGCAGCTTATACATAGATTGATCTAACAATATAGTCGTATATAATATCAGAAAAATATTTAAATTATCAATATGTTAATCTTAGATGCTATATAAATATGAAATGAGTTGATAATATTATATACACAGCATATATATAAAAATTAAACTATAGACCTTTTTATTAATTATATATAAGTTTTGAAATAAATTTATTCATTTTATATTAAGCTTTTGTTGGTAACCAAAAAATTTATTTTTTTTTGCTTATAATATACATATAAATTATTACTGAAAATATAATAATAATTCCAAAAATCGTGTTAGCTGTATATAGTACAATAAATTATATTATAAATCAATCTTAGAATTTTAATTTATTTTTCTAAATTAGTATTTAAAATGTAGACTACAGACATAAGTAATTTTTATTTTGTTGCTATTAATTTGTATTTATATCTCTAAAAAACAAAGTTAATTTAATAGTAGAAAGCGAACTGATATAATATGTAGTATTTTAGTAAAAGCTGTATCTCTAGATACGTAGCGTACTTAATCTAAAAACGCATCTTAACACAAAATTAAATAATTTTGGTTTACATTTGAATTATTTCGGTTCTTCTCTGTAATTTTATAAAAATTTGTTTGAATTGCAAATTATGTGTATAAATCTTTTTTCGATTAAGTACGATATATTTATACAATACACTATATACATAATTATGTATTTACTAAAAAATATTTAACCAAATAATATTTCAACAGACCCGAATAGCAAATTTACTTGGTGTGGCCGGAACAGATGTCCCAATAAGGGACATCAAAAAATTGCTGTCGCCATTTCTAGTAAGTCAATATTATATATAGTATTTAATATTTATTATAGTATTAATAATTGTTATATTAGCATTATTATTTCATCTATTAATTTTCGATTATAATAAAATTCATAAATTAATATAACTACATATAAAAAGTTTTCTACTAAGACAGTTTTACCGTCTACCGGATACATTTATTATATTATATATTATTAAATAGTATTATTTATAATTTTTATTCCTTATTTAATTTTACATAAGTTGGTTGCTTTTGTGAATTATTTAAATTATAATTAAAACAAAATTTATTAAATACTTGTATTATATTTATATTACAAATCATATAACCCTTTGAAAAATATGTCTTATTCTGTTACACATACATATTTTTTAATTATATATTTATATAAATGAATTTTATAAATATTATGAGCCTGAAATTTATATAAATTATCAGTAAATTGTTTATACAATATTTATTTAATCTGCTTTTTTAGAGATTTTAGCACATTTATCGTAGATTATAAAATCAATTTAAAAACTAAAGACAAATATAATTTTTTCCCTTTTAACCTACATAGTTTCTATATACTTTCTTATATAATATTATATTATATTAAAAGGATTTTATTTAAAATTATAAATTTTACAAAATTATTATCCAACATTATTATTTTATTATTTATTTTTATTGAACGATATGATATTTGCTTACTTAATATAATTAAAAACTGATATTTTTAGCTCGGTGTGAACGGGTATGCTTTTATAGTAACCAATAATGGATATATATTATTCCATCCAGATTTTCGTCCAATTGTAAGTATAATATAAAGTTATTATTATTGTATATACATTATCTTATTTTGATAATATTTTATATTCATAGTTTCAAAGCTATATACTTAAACCCGCCTATAATAGCGTTGATATGATTGAAGTTGAATTATTGGACGATGATCGAGCGCCAAGAGACTTTAATCCAGTGTTACTTACGGTGAGTTTTATTAAACATAATATAGTATTTTAAAAATTGAAAATTTTTATATAAATAAACAGATTCGAGATTCCATTATAAATCAATCGACAGGTAGCAAATGGATGTTGGTTAAAAATCATTTCGATGAAATGGTATGTAAAACAAGTATTACGCCTTGCGCAGATGACAACCACATTGAGTAACTAAACGTTTGTTTGCATGGAAATAGTTGGAACTAGTTTAAGCCAATGGAGTTGAGCTGGTGGAACTTTGTGCAACTGCGAATGTTATTGAAGTTGCTCATGGCGGTTATCATCTGTATGGGTATTACTATTTATGTATTAGACAGATTATAAAGTTATAAATAGTTAGAAGTTAAAATAACCAGTTAAAATATATATTATTATTTTTATTAGATTATACATTTAATTGTAAATTAAAAAAAATTATGTTTTTATTTTTCTTTTTTTTATTTATTTATAAATAATTTTAATGAAGTATGTATATTACTTACGTTGTATCTTATTATCTTATTACTATGTTTTAATTTTTTTTTATACATCTTGTATCTCTAAGCCAAAAATATATACGCATATAATAGTAGATATTTGCTAATGCGGTACTCTGTAAACCAAATTGATTTACAGAGGCTTTTTTAATAGCTGATAATTAATCTGTCAACTAGAAAAATACTTCATTTAATTAATTTAATTAAATTTTTATGTAAACACTCACGTTTGAGCTGCTTTTATAAATTAAATCTGTATCTATTCAAAATAAATGTTCTATAACAATGGTTACAGAGCACTATACCATTAGGCTATCAGGCACACTTATACCATATCTTAGTAGCTGTGTGAACAAAAAATTTTGTTATATTTGGAATGAAGATCCTTACTGAGGCTTATCATTAACTATTAACGCACCCTGAAAAATTATCTTTTTAGAGCTATGAACAACGATTTTAGATGTGTGTTACTAAGACTATATACAGCTTTTTATTTCATTGAGTTTTACATGTTCAAAGAGAATTTTTCTGATACATATAGTATCAAAGAAAACAATGACCTCGTACGGAGCGGAATTCACACTCGATCAAGTAATTCAAATCATGAATCTATAACGAGTTCCAGTGTCTCCGTAAAAAGAACAGTGTCTTTCTAGATCGTGCGACTTACCACCGATATAACAATAAGAATTTTAGAATTGGACACAAACATGACTTATAGTTCATATATGTGGGCTTTTAAATAATTTATAAGTATTCTTAATGTTGCCTTAACAGCTTAAAAAATAAAAAAAATATTTCCAAATGACTATTCATGATACATTCTAAACTATATACGATCAGCTCAAAAATTAATTTGATTAACTAATAAAAATATGTAATTAATAAGCTCGTTCTAATTTAAATAAAAAGCTTGGCAAGTGATTTGGTTTGTGTTACTTACAAATAAAGAGAAAAAAAAAATTGGAACTTGAGCATTAAAAGTTTGTGCAGCTTTGGTTTGTTGTGGCATAACACAATTAGTCATCGTTTCAAATTTGACTGGCACCAGTTCTAAGCCTGGAACTTGCAGTCCAACAAATTGCATACGGACTTTAAACTACTTAAATAAAAATTCGAATATTTCCTAAAGATCACTGATGATGAGACAATACTTTAAATAGCGTTGTATAGTCAGCTAAATTTCAATAAACTAATAAAAATTATTGTTGTTGTTGCTTTATAACTGTTCAAACCCTTCTAACTTAAAAATAGTTTATGTTTGTCATATTTAACTTTAAAAATTAATATTTTATATTAAAAATATTCTAATAATTTTTGATTGGAAAATATAAAATTGAGGTCTTTTACTCTTTGATGGAATTTTGTGTTTTTACAAAGTCCAGATTACATAAGAACTTCATCCCAAGTTGAAATATATATTTTTAGATAGGCTTAAATGTGCTATACATATTAAAGAATCATTAACACTTTTAATTTTTCACTTAAAAAAATTTTTTAATATTTATTTTTAGAAACGTGTTGCGCGTATTAAACGCCAATACTATTGGACAGCGATTAAGAATACACCATTTACTCTTGTGATCACTTATCCAGAACAATATGGTGTAAATCGCTTGCAAATACGCATTGAAGATGATATACATCGTCTTAATATTAAAGGCAGCAATACTCTTAACTATTTCAATGGTAAACGATGGAAAATACACCCAGGCTGGTGAGTGTCTGCTATATAGTATATATAAATATATACTTATATAATATACTTGTACTATTAACTTTATATATAAATATTAAAATCAAAATATTCTATTAATAATACAAATAATTTATTAGGCTATATTGTAAACATAGCAATATGACATTTGCCGCACCGGAGGATGAACTTCTATGGTTCTTAAGTAGAATGTCACAGCCAGGGTGGAAGTGGCCATTGAGTAGAAGTGCTTTACCACCGGAACATACAGCAGCAATGTTTTGTAAGTACTTAAGCTCAGTATATTAAATTATAATTTTAATATATAACAGTTGTATTATAACAGTTATATTATAACAGTTATGTTATAACAGTTATGTTATAACAGTTATGTTATAACAGTTATAACAGTTAACAATTATATTAAATAGTTAGAAAATTATTTAAACAAATCTTTAATTTAATCTATTCCTACCTTTGGTTAAAGAAGTGGATATCAAATCGTTTAATTTAAATTCAATTGAAGATAAAATATTATATATTATTAAATATTAAATTTTAGTGAGTTTAGCAAAAACTTATAGTGTTAAGAAAGAGTTAACGTATAGCATATAGTATAATTAGTATAAAATTTGCATACATATTTCCACAATGATTAATCACACATGAAATAAATGCAAATCCACAGCTAACAACACATCCTCTGGCCGCATTCTGTCAAGTAATGAAAAAGATAAAAATTACTATTGTGAGTAAATCAAATTAAAAATCAAAATCTGGTAAACGAAAATTAAAACCATTTTTAATCCATTAAGTGCACCAAAAAACACATTACTTTCACATGCAATAGAATTTTTCGCACAAACGTAACCATTTATTATTTTAAAATAAATTTTTTATAAATATTTTTTTTTTTAAATTTATTACATGTTGTATTTTTAAATAGGTGTGCACTTTATTTAAATATTTTATAATAATTTTATATTAAAAAAAATTCAAAATGAAATTAATTTTTGTAAGAATCGGGCTGTGAACCGCATAACGTCCTGAAGTAGTTCGGGTTAGCAGTACGAAACTCTAAACCATTGATTGGATATATGTATGTATCTAGCTTTAGCACCAGCAGTATAAAAAGTCACAAAATTCAATTTAAAACTAGAAGTTCAGAACAAGTTCACAGTAGTAGGGTTGAGTAAATACCAAATGTAGGGTCTGTATTAGTAGAATTGACTGTAGTTGTATTTTAAAAATAGAATAGAAAGGAATTCATTCTATAATAAATACTTTCCAACGCAGTACTTAAGAAAGGAATACAATTTACTAAGGAATACCCCCTCATTACTTTTTAATAATTAACAAAATTTATAGATCCATTCAAAAAAATATGTTGGTTACGTCTAAAAAAAATCTAAATATACCCAAGCTTCTATTTTTAATCTAAGTTTGAATATTGGTAGTTTTACATATATTTTTAATAACATTAAAAATTATTATACATATACATTTCTTTTATATAAATTTAAGAAATATAAATAGAATAATTATTATTTTCTATATATATTTCAAATCAATTTAAATTCTTCTACTATTATTTACTTCCCGAACTTAGTTAATATAATGATTTGATAAATAATTTCAGTAAAAGCATCTATAAACATCTATAAACGAAGGGTCCCATAAACGTGTAATGCTGCTAGTCCCTGATTTTAATTTTTTTTATACAAACCAAATTTTTAAAAAATAAACATTTCTCTTTTTTGAATAGATTGTTTAGTCCTATCTACTGTGTGCCAAGGTGTACCTATAATCATTATTATTTTTAGAATACATATTCTTAAATGTGTTTTCTTAATCAGGTAGTTTTGTTATTACTGTCGGTATCGACTTAAGAATGCCTTAACTATGTCAAGGTATACCTATAATTATTATTATTTTTAGTATACACATTATCACTTACCTTGACTGCATAGTTTAAAATGTTTCATGGTCGTTCAATCCACTTTTACTACATAAGACTATTGTTACTCCAGTCTTTCTGTAGTACTGGAACCAACTTGTTTTCCTTTAAGCCATTTGAGTATGCTATTATTCGTACTTTCCGATAACGTGACTGCATTATCTTATCTTATCATGACTGCATTCTGTGTTTGTTGAGATCGAAACAATAAAAAGATGTGGCTGCAAAAAACAAACAGGATCGTTGCCTGTAGGTCCAGAATACTTCTGTAATTCAGAAAAGAGTAATTTATCCACACTAATTAGAAAAGAAGAAGCAAAAGAAAGAATATTATACTTGGAAAACTATAAGTATTACTATATAGTGTGGTAATCGTAATAGTAATTATAGGCACCTAAAATTTAAATCAATATATATTTGAATAATAAATATTTGAACTAACGAACAATACTTTAAACTAACCCTTACCTTAATAAACTGGGAATCGGCTCCGATTTTGTAAATTTTGTAAATTCTGCTAATATACTCGTATAAACGAAAGGTATTCTTAGATGGACACTCATCTAATGTAATAATGAATTGTAAATTCGAAAAATGGGACAAAATATACTATGTGATTTGCTGGAGAGTTAGACCCTAGTATGTCCATGTTGGGAACACAATAGATCTTAAAGTCACGATGCAAGATTTATAAGAACTATTACTTTAAAAAAGGTTTTTCTCTAAGTCGTCTGTATTCCTGACAAAGATCACAGAATCGTCCTTATATACACATATTTGCGTCAATCTGTATTGAAAATTATGTGTAAGAAGGGTATACTTGTATAGTTAACATGTGTATATTTTTAATATATAAGTATAAATTGAAAAGAAAATTCTATATTAATATTATTTAGATTAAATTAAAAAATTATATAATAATAATAATAATAATAATATTTGCTTGTGTGTATTTAAAAAATATAAAGTCCAGAATCAATGTAATATATATAATTTATATTAATTTCTAAATGTTTCAAATAAACTTCTGCTTCTTCACTACTGTTGTAATTAATTTTTTAATAAAATCATTCATCTATCATCATAATCGTATTTAATTTTTTAATATTTCTTAATTTTTTTTTAAATCATTAAAAATTCCATTTGTTAGCTGAGGAATTGCACCAATTAACATCAAAATTTCAAATCAAAAGCAATCTTATTTTCTTCATTAAATATTTGGTAACATTTGTTGCATGTATCACAGAAACTAGCTCAAAAAATCTTAAAAAATCATTTTGCATTCCAACGTTAGATATTTTATTTATATCAGCTCAAGAATAATTCACATTCAATCCTTATAAATCGCACATATTCACTTCTCATCCAATCTCAGCAAATTTGCTCGTTAATTATAGTGCAAAAACCGTCAAGAATTGTTTAGCAATTAAACTTTAATCAACTGCACTTGTATTTTTTTAGATAGATTTTTTAGAAATAATCTTTTTGTGTATTTACTTGTATTTCTATACTTTTACATGTATATAAACTTTAATATATAATATATTTTAGGTGATCGTCAATTGATGCAATCTTTAGTTTTTGATGCAAGAGTAACTGAATGGTTCTCAAAGAACACTAGCTTCAACTCAAAAGATGATAAGGGGTAAGTAATAATAGTAATAATAATAATAATATTATAAAAAAATGTTTTAATAATAATAATTATAATAATATAATAATAATAATAATATAATAATAATATAATAATAATTATAATAATAATAATAATAATAGTAATATTATAAGACGATGTTTTAAAGTTATATTGAGATCTTATGTGGGTTTCTCTATCTTAGGATAAAATCTATTGAACAATATATTTAGGAATAGACTTTTCTTGTTAAATTTAGAAATTTAACAAGAAAATTTAGAATGCACACATTTAGCCATTTATCAACACCTATCGACAGATAACTACATTATCGGCACAACTCAGAATTTCCCTTATTTAGAACGCAACTCGCACACGTCTTTAAACTAACTTTGGAAACCATTATAAATTATGCGTATCTCATCACTTTTGTTCCATTCAGTTAGGAACGTAATACTGTCAGTCAGAAGGCGCTTGTAATACTGATTTTAAATGAATCATTGGACTATATTTAACGTTTATATTTATTCGTTATTAATACAATGAGACTGTATACTGAATTTACTGAAATCTGAAAGAATCCCACCCCCTGTTCTCCTTTTCTAAGTACATTTGTGGCTATGGGTTTTTCGTTTTCTTTTTTTTTTCTTTTTCTATATCACTCTTTTTCTATGATAACTGTTGTTTTTTAGTCACTCCTTTATGTGGTATGTTCTTTGGCTGTAATTAAAAATCTCATTCTGGGATTGGCTCACATATCTTTTATGTGACTGACATATTTCCTAATTATTCTCAAATTTTTCAGTTGCATAAATTATTCATCGCTTTTTAGAGTAGTACTCGTATCCATACGTGCCAAGATTAATCGCATAACAAAATATTCATATATTTACTATTCAAAGATTCCATTATCAATTTACAAAATTTACAAAATTAACTAGCTCCAACAAAATTGTATATTCACATCTATGGATTCTTGATACTCATATTTGTTTATAGCAAATTTCGCTTAATAACTACGTATAAAAAATTGTTACACGATCTAGTTTCACGTATTTTAAATTTACTAAACATTTCCTAAATCTAGAAAGCAGTTCATTCGTTACACGTTTACTTACTTTTATATATGTTATAAATTTTTAGCCTTTATTCACTGAAGGGACTTAGTTCTATATGCATAGGTCTACTAAAAATTCAATAGCCTAGAATCGATATATTAGTAAACAGTCATAACAAAAACTATTGTTATTATTATTATTAATATAAAACTTAGGTTAAGATATTGGGACGGTCTAGCTTTCGGTATTAGCTAAATAAGTTATGTCATTAGTTTCTACTACATTGTAAAAATAAATAAAAAAGATATGGATTAATTAAAACTATGGAATGTAGTTCACAGCAAAAAAAAAAAAGAATATTATAAGCTATGTTTAAAAAAAAAACAGAAAACAATAATAAAATTCATTTTTCATGTAAGCCCTAATTTCGCTGATATATGCTAGGGGGTGGGGCATAATAAAAAAATAATAAAAAAGACTGGGAAGTATATAAAATTATATAGGATCTTATGGTCACAGCATAATAGGTAGCCTTGCTATAAGACTGTGTTTTCCTCTTTTATAACTTTTGTCGTGGTTGTGGACGAAAATGCATTCCATCTCAGGGTCCGTTTTCTTACCGACCTGTCATACTGCGAAATTATGGATTTAGCTAAATTTATACAACTGTCAGGTTGGTGTATCTTTACCAAAGGAGTAATTCATTAGCCTTTTTTACTGACATTTAACATAATGTATGTATGAATAAACGCCAATCTTGTGGTACCACAATGGGCCATTATTTGTTCTCAAGTGGGCTTTCTTGGTACCTCTCATTATTGTCAGGACAACATTGATGATAATTTTTAGTTGTTTAAATCAAAAGTTTGTATTTAATTCAGAGGAATATTTCTTTGAAAATTGTTCTCTAAAATCCGAGATCTACTGAATATCAATATTTAGAACAAATATTTATTACTTTTTAACTCATAATACTCTTACTAATTAATTATTAAATAAACAATATATATGAATTATTTTTCTTTTTAAATATATTTCGCAAAATCGTCCTACTTTCTGTATCTTTATATATTCTCTTATCCTTTAATTTCGAAATGTGAAATGTATACCAAATATATTATTTTTTTTAAATCGACACTTTTTTAATTAAACTGCACAATTACCAATGTTAATTAAACATTAGCACAAGTGCTTCAAGCCCGATTGCGGTTTTAATGGGTTTGTTGCCAAGGTAAAATATAAATATTCAACATTTTCAGTTGTTATATTTATTTTTATTCTTTCACTATAAAAATAAATTTTATCCTTACATTTTTTTAATAATAGAAATGAGTTTAAGCAACGATTTGGCATCACAGTTGCATTTCTTGCCACTCACAGTGGTTTAACCAGATGGCAAGAATTTCATTCAAATAATGCTGATGAAGTTGGGGCGGGGTAAGTAGAGTGTATTTGTATTATATAAATATAAATATATTATCTGATATTATATTTTAATGTTTTTAGTGAATCATTTAGTGAAAGAAATAAACATTCGATTGATGAAATTTGGTACAAACGTGCAGTAGATCAACATTTTGTCCGGGAAGAAAGTTTCGTGTATTCAGTGCCATTTGATGCTGGAGGTTTTAAAATTTTTTATATAGATTTTATATTAATAATTATTTAATTTTATAAATTTTTATAGACTCAGGTGGAGAAACCATTGTAACTGCTAGTCACGCTATTTTTCATACCGAAGGTGGTAAATCGGCTCCAGCCGCTGTGGTTGGCTTTCAATTTCAACATACAGCCCTATTAAAACTCTTCCGTAATATAACAGGCAATGTAAGTGAAAGATAATATTTCAAAATCAGGGACGTATACAGAGACTTATTTAGGGTGGTTTTAAAAACTGTGCTAAAGTTCACATGAAAAAATTTTAATTGAGAAAAAGATTGATAATTATATAACGTGTTAATTACGGCTTATTTGATTTCAGAAGAATTTGAATCTCAAAATCCTCTTATATACACCACTGTTCAAAACATATAAAATTGTAGATTATGATTAAATGAAATTAGGTGCGTCTCAGTTGATTCACATTTGGAAAATCTATATGAGTTTAAAATATATATTACTTTTATTGTAACACCCCTTTTTGTTTAAAGTATCATGAAGTCATTAGTCATTGTAAACGAAACTAAAGAATTGTTGGAATGACCATTTATTTTGGGGTAACTCTTACGTAGATAACAATCTTGAAGATAGTTATATTGTATTCTATTCTGAATAGAACTCAAAAACTGTTAATATGATAGTAATACTTAATAGAACTACGTTTAAATAGTTTCATACTTACTGTGTATTATTCCAATTCAGAAGATATGATTTCAATACCCATATTGTTCTATGAAATACGTGTAATAAAAATTATAAACATGTCGAAAATGATGACGTCATAAAATAAAAGTACACCGGCATATATTGCATTTTTTATAATGGAAAGTTATGTGAAGATCCCTGTACATAGGTCATTCATTTACAAATCGGTTATGTTTTTGAACTTATCATCTCCGATTTGTCCGAAAATCTTTTATGAGATCCTTTAATAAAATAAAAACACCTGTATTTTTGGGTACGGGTAGATATCTTCTAGCAAAAAAAAATACAAAATTTTTTACAAAGATAATGGTATTCTTATTTTATAAAAAAAAGCATATATCAATTTTTTTTTCCAAAATCCGTCCGATTTGTAAAAAAATGGATCATTTGTTTGCCAAATGTACTCCATATTATGCCTATGCATTAATTTTTATATATCTTTAGTAATATATAACATACATATATTATTGTATTTAAAACGTGATAAATTTAATTCATACTAATTCAAAACTGCAACTATATACATTGTTATAAATCTAAATATTTATATTAGGCTTGCGCAATGGACGATAAAGGTTGCTATATATTAGACAATAATGGTTTTGTCATTATATCACCGCATCGTCAAGAGACTGGAAAATTTTTTGGTGAAATCAATGGTTATATTATGCACCGCTTGGTTGAAGAAAGAGTGTATAAACGTGTTACTGTTTACGACTATCAAGCGATTTGTTTTCAATCTAATGGAGACAACAATTCTTCCAATTACTTATTTTCGGTAAAATAGATTTTATTTATACATTGCTATATATTGTCATACAAATTTATATTATTCCTTAGCCCTTACTCCATGTGCTACGCATAGTTAAATGGCTGCTTTATACTTTATTGTGGTATATTGTACAAATGCATGCGGTAACTGCTGAGTTTATAGAGCAATATACGGATGAAAATTTGACCTTTTACCAACCTAGTACGAAAAACACCGAATGGTTAAAATCAGTAACATTGCAGCGCACACGGCTCAAATCATGCGATATGCAACGTCTGTTATATACATTGTACAATGACAAGGATAATGTAGTCTATAATATAACAGCACATGCATGTGTCAGGCCCTTTGTTGTGTTGCCTATACCAGCGAGTAATCTAATATTACTCGTCATCGATCAGGTGTGCCCTAAGGAATATACGATGGAGTTGACCGTAAATCCCATCGACATTAATTATCAATTAGAGGGAAATGATACATTAGCATGCTATAAGCATGATCGTGAGTTCACAAGAGTACGTCCTGTAAGTTGTATTAACAGGCATGTTAATGTAAGTACTTGCACATAATTTGGTTTGAGTTCTCCACCAGAAATATAACCCCTACTTTTACAGGAAAGTTCTATCGAATTGTGCGGCAATGCTGGAAGTATTTTCGCAAATATCTTATTACTACTTATTTGCTTTATTGTTAATCAATTTCTTTAACAATAATTTAAACAGATTAAGGTTTAAACGTTTTTGTAATTATAAAATATTTATTGTATATTAAATTAGTATTTATGCTTATGGTTTTTCATAGATTTTAATGGGTAAATTGTTTTTATTATTAATTTAAAAAATGTTTTTATAAGCTATTTATTTGCTTTATCATTATTTCCCATTAATTGATCATTTTATTAGCTATTTATATACTTGTATGTAATATGTCTTTGACATGGAGATTGCATGTAAATTTGTATTTAAGGAACCGATTTGTTGGCGCGTACAGAGTTAAAAGATACTTATAGAAAATTAGCTTTTGTACATTAAAAATTATATTAAAAACTATAAACAAAAATTTTGTATACATAGATATATATTATGATAGGTAAATTATTATATAAAATTCTGTAAATTTATCAATTTATTAGTTTAGTAATCTAGATAATTTAAATGAAAGTAACATGTACCTACATTGAAAATAAGAAATGATATTAAACTAACTTAATAACCTTACAAATATGTTCCCCATCTAACTGATGTAGAACTTTACTTAAAAATGTGAAGATGTTATTTACTGCATTTGATAATTAAATCACTTAAATGTATATTCAGAAAACATTATATACATACTTTTCATATAAAGAAAACACATTTTCTAAAATATAATATAAAAGGATTTTGCGCTATCTGAAAAGTAGAGCACTGAAACTATAGAAGATCTTTTCTGTTAACAATTGCCCCTAATTGATCCAAGTATCCAAGTTTATAGACTAGTCATGTTGGTTTACTTTTACTTTAATGGAGGATAAAAGTACCTTCCATCTGCTTTGTTACTATCTAGCATATGTGCAGCGCAGCCTTATCACCTTAGGGGGTTTCTATTTTGAGGATCTTGGCGAACTGCAAGACCTCCCACTGAATAGCATTATAAGCTCTGCCAAATACTCTAAGTGATTCTAACCCTTGAGTTTTTTGTTATACAGTAACACAATGGGCCTATAGGCCTAAGTGAATCCCTTGGGATGGCCGATATAACCTAAGCTAACCTATGGAAGAGTCGACTAGTGACGTCATCTGTGCATTTGCCTTTATACTTGTTTTGATGATTAACTTAGTATCGCGTATCAATCAGTGTTTAATTCGTGATATCATGGTCCATTGTATCAATAATAACCCATTATTTGTGCTCAAGTGGGTTTTCCGAATGCAAGGCTACTACTCTAACCTAACCTTACCTACATATTTTTATTTACAATTAATTCTAATTTGCAAGCATAAAAAAAATGTTTAAATCTGAATGAATTGAAAAAACTAACGGTTTTTTTTCTCTCTTAATTAAAAACATAACCTAAAAATTTATTTTTTTCATGAAACATTTGCTCTTACATTAGGCTAAGTCTACATCAGTTAAAAAAGATAAACATTTTTCTCTTCTCAACAGTTGAAAATATTATAATTTATTTAATAATATTGTAAAAATAAAAATTTGTTTGTTATTATATTAAAAATTTATATTAGCTGAAATATACAAAAATAATTGTTTTCTTCTACAAATACATTGCAAGTTATTAAGCTGTACCTACACATAAACCACATTCTTAAACACTACACAAGACAACTATTACCAAAGATTCCAGAACAAAATTTTTAGAACTAAATTTTAATAGCATAATTCTTGTTTTTAAAATTAACTTATAAATTCTACGATATTCCGAACTAAAGTACTATGTACGAGCATTAAGTAAATTTAATATATATTTAATTATAAAAATAAAATAAAAATAGAAAAATAGATTAAATCTTCTGAAAATGTGCTAAAGCTTTTATATTAAACAAATTTATTATATTAATAACATTGCAGAATAAAATATATATAATACACATTTTTCAATAAATCGAATTCAATAATATAAGGAGTTTTGTTTTTATTAAATTAATAGAATTGGACACAATAGACTAAAATCTTCAATGAACTATAGATCCGAATGGTAATGCAAATAATTTCAAACCTCTCCATGCGTGCAAGAAAATATATAATTTATATAATATATTATGTTGTATCTATTGATATGGTTTTATATGAATTCAAATAAAAGGTATTCATCTGATCAGTAAAAGTTGTTCAATATCTCTCTTAAAACTGTTTTATATAATTATTCTTGTGAAATTATCTCAAAATACTTTTTTTGGAAGGTAATAAAAGACTTCAAGCGACTAGTGATATACTATTAGCGATTAAAGTTTGAATATAATACATATAGGAGCAACAAGCACAAACAGAAGTGTTCTTCAAACCAACTTAAAAATAATTTCAAATAATGATAGAATTAACACTTCTCAAATTGAACTAGACAATAATGTAATCATATCTCCACTTCTCGTCAGAAGACAAAACCCAGCATCAAATCTCCTAAATTCAAAACCGCGTCAGTTTTTAACCTAGGATTGCAAAAATAGACAGAGAAAAAAAAGAACTCATTATATATATTGACATATAAGCTTTTGATATATTCAATCAAGACAACTTGAGACAGAAGTAATAATAATACCTAAAACTGAAAAATCTTCATATCAAATTAACTCACACGGTTTAACTATAGTTTTTTTAACTAATCTGACAAAAGTTCTTAAAAAAATATTTTTAAAGCGACTTACTGAAATAATTAATAAAGAAAATCTGATTCTGCATTAATAATTTGATTCCAGAACTAAACATTTAATATTGGAATCTTTTTCATTAAAGTAACAATACAATTGAAAATGGCTTAAAAAGAAAGAAGTGAATTTTACCGTGACCTTAGATATTTCACAGGCCTTTTGGGAAAGTTCGGGATAATGATATCATATACAAACTGCGAATACAAAAGCTAAAGAAATATTGTGATTTCATTTAAGCATTCATAGGGAATCGCTACTTTCACATTTAATAAAAACTCAATTTGTTCACACATACAGATAATAATACTGGTCTTATACAAGGCAGGTACTAGGACCCATATTCTTTCTACTATATTCAAATGACATTCCAATAACAGAATACTATAAAACTGCAATATTTGCTAAGCAAGTAAAATATTTACACTTTATTATGGTTATGTAGTGATATGTAGTGATATAGTATTTTGACGTTAATGGACGACGTCAAAATACTATGGAAAATACTAATGGACAATCCGATGACGATTAAAACTTAACAGTACAAAATAAGTGCACAACTTCGTCATTCTTCCATTAAATTTAGGATAGGTCCAATAGCTCATAGCTTTTTATTACATTTTTAAAATATTACTTCTGACACGCTTTCAGAAGAAGGTGACCATATAGCCAAGCCCCCCCTAGCTACGCATATGATTACTCTTCACATTACTAAGAAAATATTAGTGAAAAAATTGGAATACTGTTATTAAATTTATTAGTTGATGAAAAACAGTTTTATAGTACATATTGGTCGACCTCAAGTAATTGGTAGCTTTTAAGTCTGTTTTAAATTTCTTTTACAGTTTTTATATTTATTGTAATAAATACTTTTGAATCACCTTTGAAACATTTTGCTCTGGTCATCATAATGTTAACTTTTAAATTGCTAAAATAACGCTTATCATTTCTGAAAAGCATTTAAATCTTATATGTGAATATTTTCTCACAAGCGTTGTACCAGCACCACTGCCGTTGAGGGAACCATGCTAGTCGGTATGAATAATCTGTGACAAAAGTGCCTGATATATGCTTTGTTACTGTCCAGTGCAAAAGCATCAGGGATTAACTATACTAGGGGCTTACTTTTTTCACGATCTTGGTCAGCTCCAAGACCATCCTTTAAAGAGCTTTTAGGTTTTGCCATAGGTAATTTCTTATCTTTGAATCCTCAAAGTTTCAATTACTAGGTCTAAGTGGATTCTTACGATCGCCGGTATAAATTTTTGAACCTAACATAAATTAGATTTACTTAATACTCATTAAAGTCCCTACTGTTGACACTTGTTTGAAAGAGTACTCCCCATAAAGTATATGTATAGTGAACATATTTTTAGCAATTTAAAAAAAAAGGTCATGACGCTCAGTTGAAAGTATTCCTACCTTAATGCTAATGTTATTTCGATAAGAAGATAGAAGAGTAGAAGATAAATAATCGAAACGAAATATTGGTTTTAAATTTTTGATGCCTAGCAAGTAAATCTGATATATACATTGAACCGTTTATGATATTCTTATAGCTTTTATATATGACACTATTGAAGATCAAAAGAGAAAATATTATTGTTATTGTTGTAGTCCGT